CCGGCAAACTGTGGTGATAACAGAGAAAGTGATAATGATACTACAATGAGAGCACTGATATTGATGATTGTGACGATAATCCTCTACACAATGGTGATGATGTTCAAAGGGTGTCAAAGTTATTAAAGGAAAACCTACTGTGTCGAAATTTCTTACGTTCTCAACAGACATGTCCCTCTTGGTCTCTGGGCTATCATCTGGCAGCTTCACTCTGACTTTTGTTGTAGGTAGCTGCAGAATGTACAACAGATACAGAGAAATAATGACTTTCAACCAAGAAGCCAGATTGTAAACTTAGCATCAAAATTGAATTAATTCATGCTTCCATTACAGTCAATCAGGTCTGAGGATTACCGTCACTCAGTTGTGGACTAGCCCTTACAGTTGGGGAGAACGCTTTAAAATTTTTCAGGGATTTTGCAAGTCTTTCAACATTTATGACAATCATATCCTCTGACCATTATTAAGTATCCAAATTTTTAGTGGTTTAGTTTTGAACCCAAAATGTTTGCTATACCTCCTCAGTTCCTGATATCAGAGATCCTGATGACCCTCTAGCCTGATCCAGAAACTTGCCGCTACGACATCTCTCCAACCAATCCTTCATCAACTTCTCTCTACTGGCTTGGTCTAAGGGACCCTGATAACACACACAGGCTGCTGCCAACAGGGCATCACCGGGTGCAGTCTTGATGTTACTGTGGGCATGGTCTAGTTGTCCCTTCCAGGTAGCATGTTGAGTAGCCATGCTGGTCATCAGTGAGTTGGCCCGAGCAATCTTGGTCTCAATGCTCTGAGAAAATATGACAGGATTCATTCATTTCAACTCTTTTCAATAGGTATTAGTCTAAACTACTTGTTGATACAATGTTTTCTTAAATTAACTTTTCAGGCATGTTAAAGCGATGAACATTTCACAACAAAATGACAATTAAACAATAAACTCAACCGGACAAATCAATGACATACTGGAGGTGAGATGGAGAACTCTTGTCACTGACCTTGATGCCTTTGTCCAGGCTCCTCACCAGACGCATCGCTTCTTTATACTGCTTGACCTTCTCCTCCAACTGACCTTTAACATCCTGGGCTTTGACCCTCTTCTCACCAAGATGACCTTGAGCCTGCAAGGAGCAGAAAGCAGAATGTGCTTTAATACTGCCTAGTTGAGGAGGGACTTTGTCACAAATAGTGTCTCAGCACTGACTGGAACTCAGTTCAGCAAGCTTGCTTCGTTTTTACGTTCAAGTCACCTAGTGATCCCAACTTGGAGTTTTCAAGAAGCAATTCCTTACCTCATGCAGCTTTGCCTCAGCTTCTTCTACCTGCTGTATTCTTGGCCTCATGTTACGATGGATAGAAGCATAAGCATACACAGCATGAACCCAAAGGCACAGTGATGCAGCAGCCTTACTGGAACATTGAACGATCTCTGGCTTGAAGGCTGGATCTTGGATGAATAAGATATTCAGTTTGTGGTAGATGTCATCTGGGATAGACGTCTTGTCGTAGAACTCAAGATCTTGGAAGAAGTTGTTACGGTTGATCAGAGCTTTGCCACTCAACCAGCTATGAAAGACACAAGACGAAACCAAATCATCCTGAGATTGTTAACTGTTGCTCACATGAGTCTTGAGCTGAATCAAAGAGAGTACAAGCACACTGGTCAGGGGAAATGGTTTTGTTGGATGCGCCAATCCTCTGCATGTTACTTGTCAAAATTTTTTACTCCATGTATACAGGTTAGACAGATTAACACTCACTCATAGGGCTCTCTGAACATGAGACACAGAGCACTGACGACTTTGACCACTGCTTGGGGTGGCTCACGATAGGTACGTATTTCATCCAGATCAGAGGAGTTCAAACTCTTGAGGGCATGCCAAGCTGCCTCGTAAACAGGATTCACCTGCAAAGAAGTGTGCATTGACATATTCAGTTCATGTCTTGATATGAACAAAGGAGGCTATTTTCATCAAGCAGGGATTTGAACCTAGCACCTCTACATTACCATACCAGTGTTCTACCAATTAAACTCTTCAGGTAGTTTACACTGGCCTTCTTAGAATCCATGTACCGGGAATCAATAATTTAGTATGTGTGGCCAGTTGTGGACCGAACACTTTCTTTTTATCTGTTGAAAGTTCTACTATTTTGAGGCCTACCTTGTCTAGTTCATCTTGAGTCTGTTTTTTCATATCCTGCAGAGGTTCTTGCATTGCGGTAATGTCCTCCTCATCTTGGTTACACATCCCTTTAGCCTGATCAAGGACAGAAAATGAGAAAGCAGATGATCACTAATGACAACAAAACTGCATGAAGAAAATTTACCTCAGACCTCACCAATCCCTGTTGAGCAGAAGCACCCAATAAAAGAGCCCTGTGGGTGGGCATGTTCATTTTGTTGGAAGAGATGCAACCGTAATGCGTGCATTTCATGATCGTTCATGAACCAGCGACGTTCATTCCCACCAAAAGAGCTTCTATTACCAAAAAATGTGTGCCCTCTCTTGGTCTGGCTTGGGGCTTACAGGAACCCTACCCATTCATCCCATCAGACCTCACCTCAGCATAGACAGCTTTACATTCCTCTACTTCTTGTAATCTCAGCTCAGCCATCTCCTCAGCTTGTTGATGGAGGGGTTTGAGTCTCTCCAATTCCTGATTAAACCCATCCATGGATTCAAAAGCCTCATTCAGAGCATCTAAGGCTCGCTCATACTTCAAAACAGTAGCCTGTGTGGAGGAAGGATAGACAGAAAATGGGTCCCATATAAAAGTCACCCTCTGGTGATGAAAAACAATTTCAAAAACAAGTCAGTCATACATTTATTGATGAAAAATACAAAACTGAGATTCCATGGAACTGAAACAAAAGACTCTTTTAATAAGGTGAACATTACAACCACCTGTTGTCAGCACATTTTGCTTCCACTTGATAGGAGTGAAGTATATGCAACAATGTATCTGTTTTTCACTTCAGTTGTCTTTATTTTTTGTTCACCTTCTCTTCTTTGGCAATCTTGCTGGACAGGTTTTTGAAGAGGTCAATGAACTCTATGTAAGTCAGCGGACTGAAGAATTTGAATGGTTTGCTGTGGAGTTGAGTGACAGCCTGCATGGCTGAGCGATGGATGTAAGCCATAGCGTGGCTGATGGCAGTCACTTGAGCTGAGGAGTTCAGAGTGGACCAAGGCACTCGGTAAGTCTGAGGACAGAAACAAATGATAAATGCCTAAACAAATGAGCAATTCCCAAGTCAATGTGAGGATTGGCTCATGTAGAAAAGAATCATAACAACAGACTATTCAAGTAAGCCCTGACCACTGCACACGTGGGTACTTAACACCAGCTCTGTGATTAGTCAGAAAACAATAGGGTGAGGCTTAATGGCTCTGTTCAGGTCTTCTGAGTGATTTTTATAGCATCATCAATGGCTGATGCATGAGATTTAAACTGTGTGAAAACACTGAGAACCAGAAACAAACCCATAAAGAAATCTGGGTGACCAAAAAATCAACCTTCACTGCGCATACTTATGGCAATTGATCACTTTTTTTATTTATCAACAAGCAATGCACTGATCATATACCATCCAAGGTTTTACCTTCCTAGTATAAGTATCCATAGTTGGTACCCTCAACCACTGCTCAGCAACGTTTACCAATGCCTCATGACTCCATGGCCGGTAGATATCCACACAGCAGCAGGTATTCAGCAAAGCAGGGAACCGGCTAAACCACTTATGCAGGGAGCTCAAACTACTATCTGAATATTAAAATAATGAAATACACAAGGTCAAAGGGTGAATTTACATTGAAGGTCAAAGGTTATCCAAAAATTTTGCAACTATTTCAGATTACATAGAGCATCTACAAATCTACTAGTACCTTCACAGTCAATGCAAACCACCACATGAAGATTTGCTATGACCTTTCTGTAGAATCTCTCTAGTGCCATCTCCAAGCGCTGGTTCCTGTGACCTGTGACCTTTGCCCCTGGAAGCATCTGGGAGGTAATGTTGTCAAGCTCCTCTTTAGTGTAGAGGTCTGGACAGGTACCTGGATGAAGAGCATTGGAGAGGTTTAGCAAAGGTCTGCAAGTGATCGACGTGCAAATGAACCTAGAGCAGAGTCAATGGCTTTGTGATGCACCTTCTGTCTGGCTGTTGGTCAAGCTGTCAGTCTATCTGACAATCTTACCTTCTAGCATGACAGCACAAACATCCTGCAAGCATTTCTCTCCATAACTTCCCCTGACTGACAGTACAGCTGGTTTGCCCATCAATCCAGCCACCTGACTGGCTTTCTTGATCTTGTCACGGAGGATAGCTGGGTTATCCCCTGCAGCCTGGCTCATTGTACCATCAAAGAACTTACAGCGGGCAGCAAACGCTGCAACACGGGTGAGAGGGGAACGAGCCATGCCGTAGGTCAAACCAATCAGAAGGGCATTGGCTCCTTGAGTGGCCTGGAAGAACAAAGTCAAGAAAGTTGGTTAGAAGATTAAATTTGAAGGCAGAAAATGAGAGAAAGAAGGAAAAAGGAAAGTATAGTTCACAGGCAGTTTGTGAAGCAAGTTTACATACTTTGAGGACAGGTTGGTTAATTTAAATAAAGATAAGATGGAAGTTTTCTGGAGATTTTTCACAGTTTCAAAGAACTTCCAGACTTATGAAAAACTGATCCCAAATTAAACAAAGTTGAATTACAGAAAGTGTCATTAGCTCCTGCAAAGAAGCATAGGCAATAAATGTGTCAGTGAGAAATTTCAAGACTTCACAGTTGTCTGGACTGAACGAAGGAAAGACAAGGGAACAGAAATAACTTACAAAGACTCTGGTGAGTTTAGCAACATGTCTCATGGCCTCCTTGAAGAAGACTAACTCCATCCTCTGGGTAGCTGTGCTGTTGTATTGCATGAGAATCCGCTGTAATCCCTCAAAAAGCTGTGACTCAGTGTACTCAACGTAACCTGCTCAACAAAAACAGAAAGAATCCTTTAAATCTCCTGACTGTTGCTAATAGAGAAATGTATACTTGGTTTGATAATGGCATGACAATGACAGAATTAACAAGATGGCAAATTTGCATAAGTGGCATGTCCAGAGAAATTCATAGGGAAACAGGTCAGCCATGGTCCTTCCAACTTTTCAGCTCATAGTTATGTGATGTGGACTAGGATGATGCAACATATTATTGTATATTATATAGTTGCAAACTGATGTTTCAGTCTGCCACCCTTACAAATCACTATTACCTCGTTCAGTGTCCCGTTGGCCAGAGATGATGTATTTAGCAAACACAATGTCACACAGGTTCTCTCCTGGCTTTTGAATCTATCAAAGTAATAGCAGATCACACTGGAGTTAATATGCATGTAAATAGATGCATATGGGGCAGCGCGGACATCCAGGATTCTCCCAAAATGACAGGTACTGCGCCAGTGAAAACAGCAACCATGGTGACGTACGAACGCACCAGCCAGCCCAAGGATCAGGTTATACAATCTTTTCTTTGATCAGTGCTTACAAGCAGGCTCGTTGCGGTTGTTTTCTTCAGCACGATATGGTCGCTACCTATAATTTTGTGAAACTCCCGGATGTCCAAGTTGCCTTATAGGTATACACAAAGAAACCCTTTAAACAACCTGCCTGAAGACAGCATCCCTCACTGAACTACAACAGTTAAGAAAATTGAAAAACAGTACAGGCAAAAGAACCTGTCAAAAGGTAATCATTGGATCAATCAATTAACAGCCTAGAATACACCAAAATGACACCTGCTATGTCTCTTACCTGATCCATGGTTAACAGTGGCCCACGGTATCTCTCCACCAGTGAGTCTGTAACCGGTCCAATCTGGAAGGTCACCCCCCTGCTACGTCCCTTGGTACCCAGCCTGGCTGCATCCCCCTCACGGCGTTTGGACTGACCATCCTTAATAGCTGGAGTTAAGACTTTGGGTTGACTGGACTTAGGAGGAGGGGTTGGCTGGTGGGTGGTGATGACTGGAGGGGTAGATGGTTTTGGTCGGGATTCCTCGTTAGCTGGGGCATCGTTGATTTCACCTACATTGTGAAGCACAAAGTTTTAAAAAGTCCTCAAAATGGATGACTGTCCATGGTTTCAATTTTCATCACTACCTTAATTGAGTTAATCACAAGTCCTCACAACAAATTATGCCGTTTATTCTCTTATCACAACAGAGCAGACTCAAATGAAATGTGACAAAGTCTTTGCTCCGTCCATGTTCATCCTTGACCAAACTTCCACAGCAATGCTTCAATAGTCTTGAGGTTCACAACAATTAGTTTGAATATGACTTCAAACTATCTTAGTGCCCTTATGAAGAGAACACACACCTGTTCCTGTGGGTGGTTTGTCTACTTCTTCTGAGATGCTCTGTTCAGTCAATGTGCTTCCTATAAGAGAAAGAACAAACAGAACTGGTAATTTTTGCAAGTCATGAAAGTCATGATTGTTGTGCACAGTCAACACCACCGCATACATAAACACAAACAGAGAGTGAGACCAATGAACAAACTGAAGTGGAAACTAAAACAACATAGAACACAGTCAACACAGCGGCACTAGCACACCAACCTGCAGAGGACTGTAATGATGGTGTGGCAGATGTAATGTCCCTCTCTGAATCAACGTCCCCTTCCTCTGTCAGAGAGGCGGTGCCTGTGAACATACATACACGAGTGCAAATAGAGTGGAGTGCAATCAAAGAGTAGAGGGTACACTATTCAATGCCACATCAAACCGAGTAGACAAGGTTTCACAACAAACTGAGAAGGAAACATTATGTGTTGAAGAAAATCAATCTGTAACAAAAATTAAAGTTCAAAAACTTTCTCAATTTCAAACATCAACTTTTTCCAATTCTTAAGTTAAGAATTCCACACATAGACCGGAAATAATAACATTTTTATCTCCAATATTACCGCTGTGACAAACCACACACTAAAACATGAAACCTTGTGACATTATCAACTTGCCAACTACATTGTATGTCCTTTCTGGAACTCTTTTTAGTTAGGGTTTTCTATACTTCCATTGCCAATGAAGATGACACTGAACACTGACAGGGCACTTCATGACATACATATTCAAGCAAGTTTGAAGCAAATGATCATACCTCTTGCTGCTGATGACAATCCAGTGATATCTCTACTAGGGACAGGAGTAAGTCCTAGCACATCAACGTCATCAGAGGCTAAGCTAGATGCCTAGTGGAGGAAAATGAAGAACATTGTAAGGCAGAGCACCGGTCAAGGATAGCAAAACAAAATCGGAACCCCAGAGGATGACACTGGCTGACCAGGAAACAATTTCAACTGTGTAAGGAATACAGACCCTGTATCTAAGGTTCGTGTATCCTCACTGAAATATATCTCCATTAATACATTTTTCAAAAACTCTCGATTTTCAATCTTACAAATGTTCCAAAAAATCTCAAAGCCATAAAACAGTTACTGACAAGAAAATGTTAAGCACAGCCCTTGATGAAATCCAACACCATATATACCACAGTTAGTTTTTTTATTTTTGAGATCTACTCTATTGTAATGAAAACATATAAACCAAGCAAATCAACACAAAGCACAAGAACAAAAGACAACAAGGAAGCCACAAAACATGCACATGGCATCAGTGTGCAGTTATTGTTTGGTATTCAGAAAGGGAAAGCTGAACAAAGGGGAAATTAGTAGCAAGGATCTGACCAAACTGATGAGGAATATACAAGTTTTAGAAACTCAAAGATGGAGTTCAAAGGAGTTAAAAAAATATACTGTCATTCTTAAGAGTATTTTCAATTACAGATTAACATACAGAAGTTGGTTTTAATAGTTTTAAAACTGGCCAAATTTCTCAAAAACAAAATGCAGAAACACAGTCAATTTTATAATTCTACAGAAAAATAAGCAATAATTCTTTACTCAATTTCAAGCTGAAGTTTTATGATGGCCATTTAAAAAAGATTCTAAAATTAGGCAGAACTTTGAATTACTGAACTCCGAAATCAAAGATTATTTCAAAAGGAAAGGTATGTTTCTCAAAGATATTATCTGAGAAAAACATTCAAAGGAGTATTAGCTTGTTACATACATGTACATGTATGTACATGTCGTTCTGTTGTATGTAAAAGTATTTGAATATCAAATATATAAATATCTCTCAGATATCTGCAGAAGTATCAAAGTTTGCCACATCACAAAATACATGCAACTGCTACCAGGCATTTAGTTTGTCACAGGAAGTTTCCAAATCAGTGCACCACTCATGGCCATCAAGCATGAAGTATGATTCTAGGCTGCCACTGATGGTTATGCCATTTGAATTCAAACAATAAAGCTTTCTATACAGAGTTAAGCCACAACACACCAACCCATGGAGCGATGATGTCATCAAGATGTCAATGCAAAAAGGTCCTAATTATTTTTGTTTTTTAATACAGAAACTCACAAAGCTACAAGGAGTGGGTGGCAGAGAACCACACCCTGGTGATGGGGAAAGAAAGAGAGGCGAACTGCTCCCTGGACTGTCCAAATACTGCGATGTCATAGGAAGGAAAACAGGTTACAAAAACAGCAACACTTTGCAATATTATATTTATACTGCCTAAATCTTTACCAATCTATATGACCATGCGTTCAGAATCAATAAGGTGACTATACAGAGACTAAAATCTAAGTCTAAGGTTTCCAATTAAAGTTAAAGCATGTAAAATGATATAAACAAAACCCAACTTCAGTCTGATAACGTGTAATATGCCAAACAGCCTTATTCCAACCAATTCCAGCCAGTATGCTGTGCTCTTGATCTTCGAATTAATAAATCAGCTGCTGAAAGGAAGCTCTCTTGAAGAAAATTATCACAAATTGAAAAAGGCAAAGAGATGGCACACAACTATACTGTGGAAAGACTGTTAAAAAGAATCTAAAACTTGGTCCTAACCTTGGAGACTATTATCACAAAAGAACGAAATGCATGCAATTACATGAAAAGAGAAACAAACTTGAAAAGAGGAAGAGTAGATCAAATGTAAAAATATTTTCCTGAAAGGCCAGAGTTAGAAGAGCTTCATGCACAATAAAACTGTTTAAGAAGAGACTGAATTCACTCAAAGAATCTAAAGTACACTGACAGACTCTTCATGGCTGTAAGCTAGAAGTAAGACATCACTTGTAAATCAATACTTAGGTGTGAACAAGTTTCAGTCAACTGTGTCTTTTACTAAGGGTTTTGCAGCATCCTGCAGCTTGTACTGTATGGCAACCACTTCCTCTCCACATTTAAACTGATTTCTATAGATCCATCTATCTATCCCACTCCTGCCACCAAATCCAAGCAATCCAACCTACCTGGAATGATTCAGCATTGTTGACTGGTGTGAGTGTTCGTGGTTTTTCCTCTCCAGTACAAAACCGTCTCTCCACAATCTGCTCCAGTAGTTTACTGAACCAGGATTCATCTGGAAAACAAAGTCTGAATACATCACTCATTCTACATGTATTCAATAACTATGGTTTTTTATACATTAACTTGACACCATTGTCTGTAACATCAACTGTCTAATTAATGAAATTGGTACACGCCAGAATACAACAGCTACTGAGTTATGGAAGTAAAATGTGAGTAGAAGATACTCTGGCAAAAAGATTCCTATTAAAACTCACAATATGATGACTGGGTGGCTCATATTGTAGGAAGAATCACTTTTAAGAGATTGGGGCATTCACAACCAAATTATAAAGGCAAAGAATTGATAGGGATATGAAGTTTGTCTCCCTGACTCACCCTCCTTTGAGACAACCCTATCATAATAGGTCCTAGTAGCTTCATGACACCAGAGTCTGACCACTGTTCTCATCATAGGTGGGGCAGCATTCACTGCCTGGCCGTTGGTTGCCTTGGCAATGACTCGCCGACCTCTGCCAGCTGAAAATAAGTGATCGAGAAATCATTTCAGGGAGACCCCATTGTATTTGATGAGGAAAGGACAAGCACCACTGAGCTGGAAGAACAAAAAGATTTTCAGGAAATATAACTCCAGCATCGCATTGTTGCAGTTACCCCTCGTCGAGTATCTCCTGAGACAAGTTGCTAAAAACAGAACAGGGTTATAAGCATAAAAAAGATTTTACGCTGCAAGATGTACCTTGTACTAGCCAAGTCTCAAAGTTCAAGAAACTGGGCACAATCACTGAGTCATATTGCAAGATTTCAAATTAATTAAAAAAAATCACAAAACTGTTTCTACTCCATAGTGTGTCACTATAACACATACAGTCAACAGCCTGGAAATTGTTGCTTTCGTAAACAAACCTGTAATAAAGTGATGATGCGCCTTGAACAACCAGCAGGGTGGATACGTGCGCAATATCAGGCTGCATTCAAATCTCTTGTCTAGAGCTAGGTCTAGGTCTTGGCTCCATTGGAAATACATGGAGATCCGTAGACAATAGACCTAGCCGTAGCTCTGGAAGCATGTTTCAGACATGGCCTAAATCTGAATTATTATTATTATTACTAATAAAGTGGCACACTTGCAATGTCCTTGTGGGATAAGATGATAAGCATGTAAATCTGTGAAATGTTGGAAGGGAAAATTTATTCTAAGGAGTGAGGTAAATAAACAGTGTCTAGACAAAGTAGTTGCACAACTCATGTCATACTTCCACAACATGATTGATTGTATCTTACACAATCAAATGAGACAAACATGATCATTGTAGTATTTAGAAAGAGTGTTTTCATCCTCCGTGGCTCAGGTACATGTACATGTATCAATTATATCATGAAGGACTTCCACCATGATTGCTGTACAGCCAGTGACAACAGGTCAAACTACAGCATCTGAAGTTTACTAACCTCATGTTATTCCACCTGTCAATAAAATATCAGACTTTGACTGGCAAATGATTTGGTGGTCTGTGCAACCATGGTGCAACAGGCATCTGAAGTTGATTGTGTGGAACCATGGAAACCTACAATGGATGTTCAGTAAGAATGCACACACACTTGCATAGGAAGTGAATGCCTGACCCCTCCGCCTCACCCTACTGTACTTTAGGCATGAATAGTTGTGCACACATATACTGTAATATGCACATGTGCAGTAGATGTACACAGTATTTACACATAGACTTGATCCAGTCCTTCAGCATTTGAATAACAACTGATTAAGAGTTCACTCACAGTCCCAACAGGCTTTTCTTTTAATTTTCAAACCCTGTTACCAGTACCACATGTTCCCAATTTAGGAGTTTCCCTTCACCAACACTTTTCCTAGGTTTGAAGGTTTAATGTAATCAGCATCCATATTGACTTGAACAAGTCTAATGCAATCCAGGCTTTATCATTGTGTATGCATGAGTGAAGATCAAGGATCACTTATGGTGCGCCACACAACCAGACAGCTCCACCACTCCAGTGTAGGATTGAGGAAGAACCCAGTTGGGGATTGCGTTACTTGGAAATTTCCTGAATTGTGTCCTGAGATAGTGATGGTGCATGTAGGGCTTGCTGGGGGATAAAACAGACTGGTGATTCCTGTGACTGAGTTGTCATGGTTGATCTGGGACCAGGACGGAAAACAGCAATGGTAAGGGAAACCACTGCTCAATCAACTTGAATTCCTTGGTCAGGACTCTTCATAACCAAAATGGTATTGGATTACCTGAGTGTACTGGAAATGGAAGTGAAACTGATGGTGTTTATTCTGCCTACTGTGAGTGGCTTAGGATAACTTGAGAAATTATTTGCTCTATATGCAAGAGCACCAATACACATTAAGATTAGTGGAAAGAATTCTGTATACATGTATGGATGCCACTTGACACCCTGTGCACAAACCCTACATGTATGAGACTGATCTGACAAATTCTGTGTGTTTTCTCACTAAACGACTTGGTATTTTCCCTCCTAAATTGAACTGTTTGCTTTCTGATGGCTAATACATGTAAGTAACTGTTGGGAATAATTACTGGTGTCCGTGTATATACATGTACATGTAATATGGAATTCTTCCCAAGGTTATGGGAGTTATGGGAGTTATCTGCCTGTTATTCTGTCACACCTGTGTGAGTCAAACCATGCAAATATTTTGTTACAAATGCCAGCCTCACCAGTTACAGCCGTGACACTTCATGGTTTACTGGCCTTCTAGCGACAGATATTAACTGAATTAAAATGGAACTCTGATTAATTGGACTTTCATTTTCATTTTAAAATTACATGTAATTTTATTAACCCTTACAGTCCTGAACCTTCCAATTTAAATATTACACCCTAGGGAGTTACGCTCATTCTGTGTAGCCAAAAGTCAAGCTTTCATTTTGATTAATAATAAAAATTAACACCAAACTTGTAAAGGAAGTTTTTAAAAAGTGAATCCGCATCTTGCTATTTTTTAGTTCAATTTGGTTAAAATCTTGCATTAATCACCACAGACTACATTCTATGAAAGAAGATCACCAATGATGAAGGGTACATGAACAGTGATAGAAACGTTTTCACTCTAGAAAAATGGATGCGTCCAATGAGTGTCAGCTGCATTGGTTTGGTGAAGTAGCTTGTTGTGTTAATACTTGACAGTAGGGGGCCCTACCATCTGTGATGACTACGTTGGAGCAAACAATAAAAAATGAGACCAATTATTGATTAGTTGATCATTTAGACATCTGATATACAATGTACATGTATAGTGTAACTCTACTCATATCAGCCTTGCAGTGGGACATTGTTTAAAAAGGAAAAAAAAAAATTGTAGTTGAATTTTTAGATTGTAATGGTAAAGCATTTTAGAGACTGAGAAGGTGTCAATATGCACTTCAGTATTGTTAGACGCAATGCCACAAAAAATTGAATGTATTAATAATGTCAATAATGTTAATAATAAATTACTAATACATGTACATGTAATTCTGACAGAAAGTATACAAGTGAAATTTGTCAATGGTACAGAATTATAGAGGTTCACATTCATGTCAGATGCACCTTTACAGAACTTGGTTTCCTTTCTTTCTTTTTTTTGTTAACACCATGCAGATTGAGAACCATAAACCCAAGGAACTCTAGTTATTACATCATCTTGGATTGAGATCACTGCATCGCCAAGAGTAGCAGCCATGGAGAATGGATTGACAACCTCTTCAACCCTGCACAGCACCCGCCAACAATTCCGTCAGAAGTTTCTATCCTGTCCTCGTTGCCGACAGCCCTATGATGACCAGACCAGGGTTCCCAAGAGCCTACCTTGTCTCCATACTCTCTGCATCCACTGCTTGTCATCCTTCGTCAATGGCAGGACAGAGTTTCCCTGTCCACTCTGCCATGTGTCCACTCGCATTCCGTCCAGTGGCATGTCTTCCTTCCCAACCAACTTCAACGTCAAGAAGCTACGGGAGTATTTGGCCATGGATGAGATCCCCGACAGTAAGTTTGGTGGCGCTTTTGTCTGTGAAGGCTGTGACAAGCACGAGAGGGCACTTGTCTGCTGTGCCAACTGCGTACGCTACCTATGCAGGGAGTGTTTGATTACTCATCAATATGCCAACGGCTTCCATGACCACCACGTCAATGTCCTTACAGATCTGACTGATGATCAGGAAGCACAGCTTCAGCGACGTCGCCTGTTCTGTTCAATCCACAACCGCCAGGCACTGACTCTATTCTGTGAGAAATGCAACGTAGCTGTCTGTCAGGTGTGCTCCAATCTATCCCACATTGACAACGGACACCGGCTGGTAGATCTGGGGTCTGTGATTGATGATCAGCGGCGTGAGCTGGGTCACCTGATGGGTAAGTGTCTCATGCAACAGAAGCCTCTTGAGACACTCCTTGGGAATATCATCACAGAGATGGGGAAGCTGACAGCCAATGCGAAGATGACTGACAAGGACATTCGTGACTTCTTTGCTGAGAGGCGGCGTGACTTGGACAAGCGTGAGGAGGACTTGATTAAGGCAACTTGGACTGTACATGATAAGATGGCATCCGCCTTGAAGGAGCAGAAGGATGCTGCCGAGACAACACTGGCTGCCATCATGGCTACAGGGGAGTTCACAGAGACAGCCATTCTAAATCGTAACCCTGTTGAGACTGCTCGAGCATGGCAGAAGCTGAAACCGACCCTGACTGAGATTAACAATCGAATCTTCCACTCCAAGCCAGTTGCAAACAGTCTGATTGAATTCCGTTACCAGCACAATGCAGCTGAGATGCAGTACCAGCTCAGCCTACGAGAACTTGGAAAGATCTACACCAACAAAATCGCCCCTTTCCAGACTGAACTGAAAGTGTACCCTGCTTTTGTGGACCAGGAGTGCAAAGTGGGCCTTGCAACGGTAAACCTTGATGGGGAAAAAAGTACACAGGGCGGTGCCCTTGTGCAAGCAGAGCTCAAATCTCCAGAGGGGAGCCCAATGACCTGTGACCTGCAAGACAACATGGATGGAAGCTATCACATCGTGTACTCCCCAACTACGGCAGGGTACCACGAAATGCTGATATCCGTGTCCAAGGAACCGATGCATAATGAACCAATCAGAATTCTTGTCTTGGAGTTGCACACTGATATCCAACCTGGCATTGTCAGTGAGGACTGTGTGATTCGCTTGCATGCAACTGACGGCAAAGGTAATCCAGAACCCATCCCCAAAGAAATGAACATTGATATCTGCTTAAGGGATCCGATGACCTACGAAACAGAAACAGAGGAACAATTTGTAGATGATGGTTCCTATGAGATCAAGTTCCTTCCAAGAATCGTTGGAGATCATTATCTGATTATCTCCCTTGATGGCACACCTCTGCGAGGTCCCTGCCTTGTCGTCTCTGTGCACAAAGTCTTTGAATGCATCTCTAAGGATGAGGAGATTCTTCTTGAGGATGTGTCTGGTATTGCCATTTGTTCCAAGGGAAATATTTACCTTGCAGATACCTTCAAGAACCAAGAAATTGTGAAACTAGATGGTGATGGAATGTTCTTGGATACATTCAATGTCTCTTACAAGAACTACGCCTTGTTGACCATTGACCTGGAGGACAAACTGACGCTGTTCTTCTTGAATCGCAAGTGTGTCTCGACCTACAGCACAGATGGAAAGTTTGTACGCCGCTTCCAGGCCAACGAAGTCAAGAACATCACTAGTATTGCTGTCAACTCACGTGGAGACACACTACTCCTGGACTGCGTGGAGTGCTGCGTCTTCATGTTTGATGAAAGGGTTTCCAGATCCAGAGGATTGGCAGCCAGGGATGCGGTAGAGGCCAGCTCAACTTCCCCATTAGTCTGTGCGTGGACAAGTTCAACAACATGTACATCAGTGACAAGGGCAACCAGTGTGTGGTCCGTGTCAACCAGGATGGTAAGTACTTGAAACAATTTGGTGACCGGGACAGCCTTATGCATCCAGGCTCCGTTTGTGTCACCAAGGACGGTTACCTCCTGGTTCATGATGAGAGATTGGCACAGGTTGTACATGTCTTCACCCACCGATCTAGTGACATTGTCCGATCAGTGGAAGTGCACGGAATTGTTGGATTCCAAGAAGCCATGGCAATCACGACAGATGGCTGCTTCATCAAGGTTGATCACAAGGGAAACTGTCTCAGAAAATACAGCTTCAGATAAGGAATCTTGATGCCTCATCTTGTGAATCACAATGTAGTGAGTTGGCAGTAAAAGAGCCAGTGGTAAATTGAACAGCAAAGTAATAAGAAATATCTTAAAGTTCCTTATCCTGGATGTGCTTCAATCGTTTTGTAAACAATATGTACGGTTTACAGCGTTCCAAGAAATAATTGTATTTATGTTAAATGTAGTAGTATGGTTCCTTGTATTGTCAGTAACAGTGTACTAGATTGTTCTATTGATTAGTTTTCAAAAGAAGTGAAAGAAAAATAAAAGGAAATAATTTCTATGTTAAATATTCTGTAAAGCATGTGCAAAAGCGAGAGAAATAACCGCTCTTCCAAAGACCAAAGAGGTTTTGAAGTGCATTAAACTTTGTAATACATGTAATTGATGTGTGAAGTCTTTATCTCCAGAGGGGATAATTTTTTTAAAATTTAAAAATCAGAAAAAAAGCAGCGAGAGATTTGAAGGTGACTTATGATTGTGCCAGCAAAAACAGTCATCAATCACTCAGACAGCCCCCCATGTATGCCAGTACAGTACATGTATAAATCTATACGCCTACGTACATGTACATGTACACAGAATGCATGCAAAACAGACAATACCACAGTACATGTAAGTTGTATGCAGTAAAACTATGAAGCATAAATATGGCCAGGAAATTAATGGTCCGTGTCGGGGACCCTGGGTGGTCGGATTATTGCCAGTGTCAGGCGACATCTGACAGTACCATTGTGTGCAATGGGTGAGATTAACACAGTCTGTTGAGTGTGGGCCACGTACACCACAGACACTGTGCCAGTTTTGTACACGTATGTGCTTCATCAGACATTGCACAGTGAATAAATTTGTGACATCGTGGAATTTTTGATTTTCTTTTGTATGAGGGAAGTGAGTGTGCGTTTGTAAAGCCTTTATATCCGTGCTTAAAAAGAAAAAAGGAAAAACGGTGTAAAAAGGGACAAATTAATATATCATCAAGAAATATTACTGATTAACAAGGCAACTGTATTGATCATTTACATGTACATAGCATGAATTTCATAGTCTGAGTGGCATGTCTGTACATATTTATGAATTTCAGGGCTAGTATGTATGTGTATATCATGAAATCTGCTGTAAGCACTATTTATTTTTTCCAAGTTGGATCTAGCTTGTATAAAACTTCCTCCATGACAAAACTAATGTTCATTATTTTTGTATTTCGTCTCATACAGGTGCATGTAGATAATGTAATAGCCACAATGGACAAAAAATGAACTAGTAGATTAGAATGCACTCTACTCGTTAAAGAGTTCAAATGTTAATTTGAATGCAAGTTGGTGTATACTGCATTCCTAGGTACCAGCACCATTTTGCCTCCAGGATAGAAGTCGACAAGGACACTTTGACAGGGGCCCATGTACATGTATAGGTCATACCATGTGTGTGTTCCCTGTGTGTACTATCAAGCATCAGTGCATTGAAACTGTGACAATGTGAAATGAAACAAAGTCCCAAAAGTATGCGCCCCACAAGCAGGCTTTGGATAGCCAATCTTGAAGGGCCCTTGATGTAATCCCAGGATATAATCAAGTAGATGTACATGTAGAGTTTTCATTTCGATAACTTCCATTTTTTGGGGGGGGTTTACTCGTATGTGTACAAGTAATTTTCTGATACTCGTCAAATACAAACATAATACAGAAAATTGGATGTTCGAACTCATTGTGTGAACACGGTCCCACTGTACCAGGTTTTAATGCTGGGGATAGAGTAGGAAAAAAGGGGTGAAGCAGGTGGCCAGTGAGCAATGGTGGGGGGGTGTACATGTACTCGTAACCTTTATAAGGTGACCAAACAAAATTGTATAAAAACTTGATGTCAGCACATTGTACACCAGTGGGAATGGTCATGTTCATGAACACATCTTCTAATCAATGATATTAAATGTTTTATTATGACCATTTACATTTCTATAAATGTTGATCCTTAATGCTATGTACCAGAGTGTGGCATGTAAGCACTTTGCAGCACGGCAATATACAAAGTCACTTGGTAGTGTTTACAAAATCTGCTTTGAAAAATACCATCTGTTTAAGAAATCTCAGAAACTGATAATTTGAATGTGGACCATTACCACACGAACAGGTTTACCAACAACACAGTTATCTACCGGTATTTCTGTCAATACAATACACGAATAGCTCAAATGACCCTTTGTGAAAACAATGTTAAATGTCACAATATTGGACAATCAAAGCAAGGAATGCATGTGGCACACATAACCCTCTCTACATGTACGTACATTGTACCATGACATGCATGAACGAATCATCCAAGACAGTGTTTATGTACCCCGTATATCGAACCCTGACAGCCTAATCCATTTCAGCAAGATTCCATGACCAACTTTAGAATTCAGTAAGTTGGACACTGTTCATTGATTATAAATATAAAAACACCCAAACAAACAAATCTAATGTTCGTATTGCATGAACTTGACTTTGTAGCTCTCTGACCAAGCAAAACACGACTCAATATTGTATACATATATGTATCATTATTGTACTGCATGCAACGTGAATTAAACACTGAATTACTATCACAAGGAAGGGTGAGTGGTGATCTTTTTCTATTTTATATTTTCTCCCTAAAGTCAGTGCCAGCTTAGCGTGTTGTAATGTTCAAATCCTCTGACTGTAAATGCATAAAATTTATGCTGAAAAAAAAAAATCAAGACTGAAAGTAATGTGAAAAAGAATCAATGCATACCTGCCGCTTGGGGGCGTGCCCCACCCCCTCTTCGGTTACCATGACGAGGCCTGCCTCGGGTGTGAGGTGACATAAGGTATAGTCCCTGGACTACCCGGTTGACATCGTGTAGGGAGAATGTGTAGTGAGGGTTGACAGGAGTGGGAACCAGTCTGGACTTGATGGCTGAGTGAAGGTCTTGTGTAGCAACCAGCAAGGCCTGGAAGGAAAGGGAAAGTAAAAGGGTCAAAGTTGGAAACAAGAAGAAGTCCAGATTTATAAAAAGTTTGCTTAAAATGATAGTACTTCCAGTCTCAGATATGTCCAATCTCTGAATCATGAGGGTAAAATGTAAGTAGTGTTAGGAAGGACATATGGACAGATATCTCATGTGTACACGTATTAGATTAAAACATGTATACTCAAAATAGGCAATTAAAACTCCTAGAGAGTTGCGATATCAATGAGATAATCAATACTGATCACACAATTTTATTACATGTACTTCTTAATCAGTACTTGACGGTGATAATGCACAACCCTTGAACACATTGCGTTTTTAACTGGAGGTGAAAAAGGGTTTTGAATCATAGCCAACTTGTCCACCATAAGACGTACGTAACTGATGTAAGTGACAGAAGATGTATGCAGATGAATCCTTTGTCTACTAGTCTTACCTGTGCCATCTCAGGGTGATGAGCCAGTGAGTATGCTGGAAACTCCTCCAACCATCCTTGCAGGTTAGGTCTATGCAGAGCATCCATCGCCCCTGACCCCAAGGGGAAGAAGGACAGAACACAGAACAGACGAGCTAGGCGTGGGGATAGCGGATGACATGCTGTCCCACTACCAGTTCCTCGGGTGCCTGGTGGGGAACAGGCTGCTAAGAAATTGGCATCCTCTAAAGCCTGGAAGAAAAGACGCTGTCTGTCATAGACTCCACGATGGATCATGAGTTGACGGAGGACATCATTGCAAGGCAGACAACCTGAGGAAATTTTTTAAAAAATTATTTCACAAGAATCAGAAAATATAAGATTATTTGTTTTCAAAGGGACAAATTCATGTCCAAAAACAAGAAATACTACTCGGGCAAATTGGGTTGAAAATGGATTGATGACAGCGAGCAGAAAATTCAAGATAATGACAAGATAATAACCTGTCTTGTTATCCATCCTGGCACAATTCAAATCATCCAGAAAAAAGAGGTGGCTGGAACTGGATTTCTGTTGCCGACCGCCCGTAGCAACAGCAGCCATGGCAATGCTACGTGGGCGGAGCTTACTGATGATGGCATCTTCAAACGATTGACAGCTGAAGCCAGGAGAGAGATTGGTCTTGAGGAAATAATGCTTGGGATGTACCAGGTTCTGGAAACAAGACAGAGGGTGAATTTAATGAAAGTTATAATCATTTGTGTTTACATCCATCTGTAGGTACAGACAAGTGATTCTTTATCTAAATATCCTCCTACCTGCATAAGTGCTGTCTTGCCAACACCAGGTGGACCAGTCAGAAGAACTGGAAAGTTAGAGCTGACAAGAAGGTCTATGATGTTGAAATATCTCTCCACCTGAGGACCAATAAATAGCGTGTCATAGCAACCTAGTAAACTCAACAACATATTTTTCATTCAGGATTTTTGAGGGTGGCAGTTGGGTGATGGGACTTGCAAAATGCCAAAATGGAAGAGAAGTATTACGAAATAATGAGCCATTCAAATGCAGCAAGATTTGACTGGCCTGACCTCAGGGATGATGGTGTAGCCAGAGGGTAGCGTCTTAGCTTTTTCCTGAGTCCTATCTCCCCAGGGAACCAACACACCGTGATGAGGGTCGATGCAGTAGTCATAAACACTGCCCTCTACTGGTAGATGGATATCAAAGCTAGCCCTTGAGAGGATCTCTCGTGCAAACTGGTCAAAAGCTCCTGCATATCTGTTACAAAATGATTACATTGAAGAAACATTGACAAAAGGTCTGCACGGCCAATGCTGAAGGTTACTTCTTTGCTTAATACGTGTACAGGAGGCAAACAAAGGCATTTCTATATCTTAGATGAAAGGCACATGCCGCTTGACACATGCAAAAAGTCACTCCTTGTCTACAAATCCTGGGTGCTGTGAGGGGGTAAGGGGGTGTCCGCTCCCCCACCCATGAAAAAAATTAAAGGAAAAGTGGGGAAAAAGTGAAAGAAATGACAAACAGAGATATAAAGGGATGCAAAGTAACCAATTTGCTTGAAAACCTCAAACTGACCCCCTACAGCCATTAATTGTTTCCATTATTTCTCTCAGCTGATTAGCGCTTTGCCCTTTCCTCTGGACATTTTTTTCCCTTGAAAAAAGTGGTTTGCCCCTCTCCTAAAAAAAAGTTGCTGACACCCATGATACAAATGTTGAAGTCTGCTGAGCTTATTTCAAACTAACATTCACACAACAGAATGTAGACCAATATAGTGCCTGATTTCAAGACGTTTAAGTCTTCATTGCTGAAAGAGCAACTATGCATAAACTCATTAGCAGCTAGTGCTACAAACACCTATCAAAGCCATCCTGACATCCATGGACTGACCTGTGATGCAGGTGGCCACCAAACCCCCAGATGTAACTGAAGGCAAACATGGACAGGAGCAAGGTGGTAGGGTTAGGTTGTCCTGAGACGTCTCTGGTGTGACCCATGGCTGTTGCTGATTGGTTGAGGGTGGGTGATGGGGTAGGTCTACCATCTGTTAACAGAACATAAGATACAGGGCTTCAGAATGTACATGAACAACTTCTAATATTATTAAAGTGTGAATCTCCAAAATATGAGCATATCGGGAGACGGCAATCTCAGTGGTTCAGAACATCAACTTTACAGACAAATTCTTACCTGAAATTGGGCTGCTGCTATCAGACCCCTCTTCTTCCTGGAGGAGAAATTTGTCGCACAGTGCTGACAGGATGCGAAGGAATGAGGAGACCTCATGGATACCACTGACGATGCGTTGCTTAGCAACGGCAGATACAGGAAGGTCTGCAGAGAGAGCTGGCTGGCAGCGGCGAGAAAGGAAGTTGATGGTGGGGCCTAGGGTTTCATCGATGAGGGTGGTCAGCATCTGAAGGCTGAGGTGAAAGAAGCAAGACAGAGGTCAGCATTAAGAACAAACACTGGCAGAAGAAAGTGGCAATAAGAAATCCCTCACTCAAATCCTGCATCCATGAATCAAGAGTAACCATGGCAACTGGTGAAAAGTGAGAGTAACATGCTGTGTTTTATAGCAAGGGATACCACTTCTGTTCTTGGATTAGTGATATGTGCCTTCTCAGTGGACTCATGAATTGTCAGTTGGAAACCCTTTTCTCTCAAGAGGAACGTGCAATTCTCTTCGGGGAAGGTCTAAAATTTTGAGATGATCCTGTAAAAACAGCAGCTGATGTTCCGGGGCTCTAATGCCACAAAAAACATACCCGACAACGTACATTATACAAGGTGTAAAATTGGAATGAATGTGAGGATGGTCGTTGGTGCATGGGTCAAGTGGTTGAATGGTTGGACAATTGGTTGAATGGTTGGACAACTGTTTGTTGAGACAAGAAATGAGTTGTAGCCAATCAGAGCAGAACACAAAATGACAATGAAGCGAGCACACACAATACAGAACAGACATGAAATGTGAAAAATGTTGTAGCTGTATGTAACAAATACCACACCACTGCTATGGCCTTGGTCAGGCTGAACATTTTACACACCACATGACGCTTTATCCAAAGGCAATGCAAACAATTCCCTCAGTCATCACATCGATATGGCAGCTAATATTTTGAAGCCTTGTTACATCAAAATGAATGAAAAGCTTAATGTAGACAGCACAAGTCTTTTTTTTATGACAATGCTAGCATAAGCATGGAATATTATCAATCTATCAAGCACAGACCAACACCCACCGCTGTTTGTTAATTTTCCCGTGAGTATTATACCAAAGCCAAGGTTCAAACAATCTGCAGACGTTAGTGCCACTGAGTACAAACACATAAGAGGGAAAAAACATTGGAAAAGCACGTCAAATTACAACAAAATTACAACATAGCCGGTTAAAGCAGGACAACAGTTAGCAAAAGCTGGGTTACACTGTCACGAAACAAATGATGTTAACAATCTTCAAGGCGTTAAAGTCAGCCAACAAAGCTGAAAATGACATTACCGCTATATGTTTAAAAATTTATAATTTGCAGGGTAAAAATATTTCTTAGAAATGAACAACGAGCATTAAAGGATCCTTGGAAATATGCACCAGATGACTAGACGTAGTGGTTTAAGTAGTAGTGAATTTTATAAAATAAGTCTCAAAATACAGGATATTTAAGAATAAATACTGACAAAAATGAACAAATTTAGACAGGTAGTCCACCCTATAGGGGACACTCATCAGAACAACTACACCCCAATATGGTGTACAACCAGGAATTACCATGCTGTACACCTCACAAACAATAAGCAAAAGACATTGACCTGAGAGAATACAGCTATGGCTTCATATCACCAACCAAATCACACGGAAAACCTAATTTACACAAGACAAATTTGTGCTTCAACATGACAAATGAACCAAAGTTAATAGATTTGCTTGTTTACCCGGTGTTAGTGACTTCCCAGTGTGACTTGGCACTTCCAAGCCAGGATTCTGCTAGTGACTTCCAACGGACAACATCGTTACCACAGTAAATGATACCACAGCGAGATATCAGGGCAGGAGAAGCAGAGGAGAGATCTGTCGTCTCAAACAGGACTGAACAAGAAGCTGAATATAAATAGCAAGAAGCAAAATTCAGAAATCCAAAAAGTGCAGATGGCCATTTATCACACGTATTATGGACTATTGAAGTATACATCACGTGCACAATTATGTGCAAGAACCAGCGCGTGAACCAACACCTGCGCATACTCCATTCGTTTGTACAACACTTTCTGGCTCCCAATGACGTCACACTTTGATACTCCAGTGTGCCCGCAAAATGATGGTCAACAACTTTCAAGATACACAAAACAATTTAAATTTTTCTTGAGTCTAAAAAAAAGAACTCACCAGGCATAGGTATCTGTTGGCCATGTGCCAAGTTCATCTTCCTAAAGTCTTCCTTTAGCAACGACCCAATACTCTCTGTCCAATCTGGGTTCAGAGCACCGTCCAGGACCAACCAGCGTTGGATGACACTAGGTGGGTTCAAGAGAGCTTTGTTCTTCTTCTCTGTCTGGGCGGAGACTAGGGCCTCAGCGGCAGAGGCGGACGTTGAGGTGTCACGGAGGAGACGTGTCAAGATGCCATCCCGCCAAGAGTGGGCAGATAAGTCATACTTACCCAAGAGCTGATGACAATGAGTTCAAGATAAAGGAATAATTGAAGACAGCTTTTCTTTAAAAACAGAAATATTATTGGCATGAGTGGCATATATGCCTGAGGTTGGAATTGGATGTTTCGTTTCCAAACAGAATTACAATTTTGCTTTAACCGCTTCACTATAAACATTTCTGAAATTCTGCCATTACCATCATTTTTCTCAACCTACCTCTTCTACTGACAAGGCATCAGGAAAGATGACGCTAGCATCTACAGCTGGATAGACAGTCTTCTCTAGTCCTTGACTGGCAACTTCCATCCAAGACCGATTGACTTTGGCCAGGACATTCGCTGTCCGTCTGATCTTATCCAAGGCAGATGACCGTCTGGGCTCTGATGTATCACTTGAGAAGGACTATGAAAAAGAAACCACACAGATGGCAGATTTGACTTGTGCCTTTCAAACAAGCCTTTACTTGTAAGTCAACTCATCAACACCACTTGAAGCTATGCAACTCTGACAATCTCAATCCATGACTCACCACAATAGATACTTTCTTAGAAGTGCCATTGCCGCCTTCATCCTTGGCTGCAGGGCTGGAATGCAGCATATTCAACACTCGTTCCAGTGTCTCTCGACAAACTGTCTTCCCACTCCCTGATGGACCGATAAGAATGACCCCTGACCTCTGCTTCAGACTGTCATACAACTCCAAGACCTACACCCCAAAAAGATGAGACTACAGAGTGAAATTATGATTCATGGTCACCGAAATGAGCATCAAAGGCAAGAAAGCACTGACTACTCCAAAGTTAAGGAGAGGCTTGTGGTGACACAATGTGGATGGATCTCTTTTGGAAGAGGTGTAGTTCTGATAAGAACCGGTGTGTACTCGACGCTTCGACCAGTGTGCTCTGGTCATCTTCAAAGTTATCCCAGACTAATTCCTATCTCCTACCTTGGAGACGTGCTGTGGTGTTGCCTGCAATCTATCCGCTACAAATTGACACTGTACTGCATCCACTAGCACCGGATCATGTTCTTGGCTACCAGTGCTAGGTCTACCCATCCCACCCCAGGGGAACACGCTACGTAGAAGGTTCCTAACAATACGGGTGTGGTCAGGGCTATGGAGGCGTGGCAGGAGGAGGTGCTGGATGGCGTAGACTAGAGCTACTTCCTCCCGATGTTCCTCATCTTGCTCCAGGCCAATGACATCTGGTGGATCCAAGGAATCACCTATGGCAAAATGAGATGAAAGGGGCATTTAAGAGTTGCTTAAAGAGAGCATTCGTGAGTCCGGCAATTCCCGGCTATCCGCTCTGAGCGGGAACAAAAGAGGGCATGTTTGTAATTGACACTCTTTTGCTACCAACTCACTGCATAGGTACGCAGGTTTGACATACACATGTTTGACGCGGAGCATGCTGAATACGCGCAAACAATTTATTCTGGAATTTTATGGTCTTCATGTGCATGTCGAATGCTTACAAGAACCCGATTGGAAACCTTCATACCCATCTGTCTTTCAGCAGTGAGGGTCCACTTCAACTCAGGGTGGACAGTCAAAGGTTAGGTTTTTAAGAATGTACTGAAATCCTATTTATCTTACTGTCTGTAGCTGGGTCCTGATTGAGAATGCTGCTGTTGCGTGTGGACCTGCCTGACAGCTGATACACCTGTCGCTTGGAGTAGAGTTTCCCTAAAGCAATGTTGATAGCAGCTTGCATGGCACGAAGGCCAAACACACATTCTGAACGTTCAGGAAACTGGTGGAGTAAGAAATAATAACACTCTCAGAATTTCTTGCCACTATAAATATGGGTAATAAACACCCCTAGCAGATTCTTCATTCTGATATGCTGAACATTGATCACATGTCGTCTATTCATACAGGGAATAACCAAAATACTGGAATGAGATTACTTCTGGTTCCTCTTGGTGCACTGACATGCATTACCCTCCTACTTTCCAGCGGGTAACTTGCAAAAGAGTCAGGAAATTGTCAACGTCAAACCTGTGTATGGAGAAGATCAGAAAACGTGGACAACTTGGATGCCAGAGTATCTGCTGTGAGAAATCCTCGGCAATAGAGGGCGCTTTCCAGTATCAGTCGTAAGTCTGGTTTGATCATGGCGACAGGACGCATTAATGACTGCAGAAAATGAAATAAGAATGTGACTTATTTTGAACATTTGCTTTATTTGCAGTATGCCTTGGGTTTTCTTTCCATTTCTCTTGATTCATCTGAAGCCACTAGAGCTGAAAGACCTTTGTAGCGACAGAAATTCGAAACAAAAACCACTGCACTGCAAAAAATGTCAACTTTTTTTAAAGAAAGATCTAAACAAACATTTTAATTATCCATATTTCAAATTGACAGCAAAGGTTAAGATACTCACCCTGAGTGTATCAGGCATTTTACTGGTGACTGAGCTAGTCGTATTTAGCGTAGCAAAGCATCCAAAGTTACTGCTAACTGCCATGAGAGCACCGTCAAACTTGACATGGCCCAAGATGGAGGATTTGTAGGTCCATTGTGAGGATAGGCTGGGTATGTCTAGGGGGTCTGCCTGGTTGCTTGAGGTGGCTAGTAAAAGAAATGAATTCATATCAGGGGAAGTGCATCTCTGAAACCAAAATGTGACATCTTGAAAGGCTGACTGTGATTCAGCCTGACACTGCCTGGATGTGAGACTGCATTTTTGGTTTGTGGGAAAGATATAAGGAATACTACTTCACGGAAACCCAAAGTGGCAATCTATCGCTGCCAAGCTATGTTTCTTTCCAGCCTGGTATTTAATGCCGTCTCTGATACAGCCAAAGACTTACCTTGATTGTGGAATTCTGGGAAGAGTGGAATTGGTTGACACTGTTCAGTATAGTAATCCTTACTAGATATCCCTGATGGCATACCGATGGAATGTCTACGCTGTGGTAGGTTAGGAATATGATGAGGTATTGGTTTATTAACAGTATCCTGGGAGATGTGGAAGCTCCTTGCTCTAGAATCCTTGAGAGAGGACAAAGATAAAAGAGGTTTGATGTCAAACTTAAGATGTAGGCTTCTGGTTAGGCTTAGCAAGTTGAAGTGAAATGGACAAATGGTGGAGAGAAGATGGTTTCAGAGATTTCAAGTGTCTAGGTTAGAATGGGTAACAAGGAAAACTTTTCCAGTTCCATTAGTTGACTGAGTTTGTCTTACCTTCTTGTGATGATGGGAGGCCCGTCTTCTTGGTGTTTCTGGCTGCTCCTCGGGACATGAAGAGTGGAGTGTTCCCAGAGATTTTCTACGCTGTCTGGGCTGCAAGAGCAAAGTCAAGAAAATGTAACAATTGGATATTTCTCCCTCCTTTCACATAAAAAGTCAAATAACTACTTTCATCGATTTTGTTATAACTTGGCATCAATCATACATCCAACCATCCCTTGCCTTTCCATCATCAAAATGGTGAAAATTGCTGAGTTTGCTCCCTGTGAAACATCCGAAAGTTTCCTAGAGACTTCAAAAGATCATCCATGGATCAGGTCCTCTTCTGAAAATATTTCTGTGATCTCAAAACCTTAGGTTGCAACTAATAATTGAATGGTGTGAACCTAAATTCCCTGCTTGAATGTAGTGTGGCTAATCTTGTAGTTAACTCTCACCAGACGCGAAAAGCCTCTGCTGCCATATTGGTTGTCTGTTGATGACCGGAGAATCCTGATGGCTTGACACAGATGATCTAACTTCTGGCCAAACACTGACATCAGACCTGAGCAGGAAATGGAAGTAAACTTAGACCCCTTAGTATGGTGTCTTGGTTCCAGCAGTTACAACAGATGTAATTATGGATTTTTAAGCAGCCTACCTTCTGTCATGTGATTCAGATTGGTGTACATCACCCAGCTTCCTGCAAGCACCATACCACTCAAGAGCCTAGTCAGTGCATTCATGTTGGTATCTTCAGCACAGTTAACGGTCACCAGGTGACGACCCATGACCTTTGCAAATAAGAATAGAAAAAGAATTAACCACAGCCGGTTTGCGAATGAGTCGTTTTGGAGATTAACGTTCTGGAGAGACTCTTACTCAAGAGATAATTTAAAAATGCAAAGCTGTTAATTTCCTCCTCCCACTGAACCCTGTGACATACCTTAGCCAGATCTCTGACTGTCTCTGTCTTTCCTGTCTGTTCTGGTCCTATCACCATCCCACACTGAAAACTCCTCAATGCAGTTGTCATGGCCAGCTGACACCTGTCACTTAACGGTGTACTGACCAATGGGGCGTCCTGACCCAGATATTCATAATCATATGCAAATGAGGCTCCTAGCTGGTGGACTGTACAAGGTCCAAAGATTCTACCTGTGATGGATTTGAATGGCTGGGGCTGAGATGTAGGCAGGGTATCAGGCTCTAAACAAAAATAGGGGAAAATTAAAATTTACTTACATAACTTGGTCCTAAGATTTGGTTAAGTGATCATGGCCTATTACAAGTAATAAATGTAAGAACTCAGAAATAATATAGTGAACATGTCTGATTGTCAACCAGGTAACATCTCATTACACGTCTGAAAAGTATGGATTATGACAGCAATGCAGCGACATTCAAGATCCATTTCCAGTCTCTTTGCTCCTTCAATAACTGACATCAGCTCAGGATACATTCTTACCATATATTTGCTCTTCCATGTCATCTGCTGTCTCATTCTGTACTTGCAGTATTGGTCTGCTCTCCATAACATAGTGTAATGTCTTCTGCCAGTCAAAGCTATTCAAGGAAGGCTCGGGCAGTGACATCAAGGCTACAGAAGGGCAACAGCATAGGAATATTGACTGCAGACAAGGGCAATAGTGTAGATAGTGACCCCAAATCACAGTCACACAGAGAAAAACTAATTCTGTACAGATCAAAGCGAACATGTAATGTGTTCATTTGCTGGTTCTACTGTGACACTAAAAACTATGTAACACATTGACTGCCACAGCATGCTTTTCACAGGGCATTCCCATTTGTCAAGCATTGTACACATGCGCACATATCTAATAGGTACCTTTCAGGTGTCTATGTGACCATGAGCATTATACAGATGCATGTCGTCCACACCGCCAGCAGCGTATTTGTTATGCTCTTCAGTGATGCCAGTGTATTCAATTCATATTACAACAGTCTTTCATTTCCAATGAGTATACTCATAGAGGCAGAATCCTGTACAATGATATAATCTCAAAAGCAATGACCGAGCCTTAACTTACTTTGCATAATGTCACGTTGGTGAAGTCCTTCACTGACCAGTGATCCTAACAACATATGAAGTCTGGTCCTGGTCTCAGAAGACAGATATCGGCTGCAATTATCCCTAAGAATGGCTACGTACTGATCCAGACGACTCTGATATCGTTCCCTTGGAATGGAAAGAGAGGGGAACTTGCTAACATGCCATTGTACTACTTCCCAAATTATACCACAAATGTAAAACGGTTCTGCAGTTAAAAGGCAGTTTGGATTTTTCTAAAACCAAAAATGACAATCAAGCAACTTACACCCAGCAGTTTGTTTTGGTCATGTGGTAAGTTTTTCCTACCTTAAAATCTTCAGCTTCTCCCTAGTTCCCTCCTTCAACACACGTCTGACATCTTGGGACCACAGGATGGCTTCTGTAACCAGCACACATTGTATAGGAAAACGCAATAACCAATGGCTGAAGCTACGCTTGACGGCGCTCTTCAGCACTGCCTCTTCACAATCAGCAGAAGGTGCTTCTCTCTCCAAGAGGCAGAGCTCAGCCAGGATTTTGTCTGGCGCAGTACGATCTGATAAAAAAAGACACAGCATATCGGATTAAAGTGCAGAAAGTCAGCAACCTTTAAGCATCACGGAACTAGATCCCAATCTGCTCCAAGCAGAACAAAAGAGGGCATGGTTTTTTTTTTAATCACTGCAAAGGCGCATCGTGAGGTGCGCAAGTACATGCGTGTTTGACACAGAGCACACTGAGTACGCATAATTAATGTATTGCGGCATGTATGGTCTTTGTGTACACGTAGAACGCGTGCAATAACCCACTCGTAACCACATGTCTTTCTTTCACCGATTGGGGGTGCACTTCAGCTCGGGGCAGATATGCTTTTAGAAACAGGAATTTTTGCAGACCTACCTCCTCTCAGCCTAGTCTCCAAACAAGCCAACAGCTGTGCTCCAAGGGTGTTCTTCATAGTAGTCTCCAGTCCGGCCACCCACTGTGCTGGCTCTAGTTTAGGGCTGAGGGGCGTGGCCAGGGCAACATCTTCTCCAAGAGCGCCCTCTATGGCAACTACCTGGAGCCTGTGAGCTAAATAAGAAAATAAAATAATCTTCATTTTTTTAATATGACATACAAGATAAAGACAGAACTGGTTTGTAAGTAAGTACCCAAGCAAACTACACCCAAAGACAGAATACAAGGGCTGCTTATTATCTGAGCAATCTTTTCTGGAGCTGGAGAGATGGAACTCACCATGAAGTTGCAAGTCAAATGATGTTTGCATCATGTCTGTTTCCTCCTTGCTGGCCACTGGCAAAGCAAAGTCGAGATTCTGAACTCCTGGGAAGAGCTGTCTGACCAGCGGCACCCAACGACGTTTGTCTCTGGTCATGGACAGCATATCAATAAGCTCCTCGTCACTCAGGAAGAAGAGGCGTGGTGAGGCGGCACGGGCGTGGTCTAAGAGTGATGTCAGGCCCTTCAGGATCTCTTCCTGTGTTGAACAAATTTGGCAAAGTAATGATGTTTCTCCAAAAATGTTTGTGTCCCATAGAAAATGAACACGCCATCGTATATCATTACATCTACGCATGCTCTACCGAGGGCGGTATAATGCTTCATCACTAGAGCAATGTCTGAGCAGTTCCTGTAAAATTCTTTATGAAATCCTGTCTTCCAACCTCAGTGAAACCTGACACACTGATGCCAACCCAAACTGTAAAACCCAAATTTCTCTGTACATACAGAAAGCTGGAGTGTATGGTGCATGCTTTTTAAAACAACAACAATTTGCCTATCAAGCCGACAGCGACTTTTTTTAGCAGACAAGTCTGCATCTTGTTTTCTACAGTGTGCCCCACTTAAAAATCTACCTGACCATGGTCCCCAACGGGGTATCTTTGCTTTTCAAAGTGTATGGCATTTTCAATTTCCCCCATGATCAGTGATGCAGTTGACTCCATCCTGCAAGTGTCTGTTACTCCATCACAAGTCATTTGGTCTGATAGGCCAAGTCATATGCTACTCAAATCAACTGCAACGAAAGCATTCCTTTGTCATTGCTCAACCTGTTACTTCCAACTGGTCTTGTGGAGGGACTTGTTATGGGCTTGACTACAGCACTGCCTACAATGGTAACTTGCCTGTTTGACAATCAGCGATGACAACAGCTCTCGTAGTGTATCTCCCTGCAACTCACGGTGACCTTTCTGACTTTTGAGTTTCTCCAAAATGGACAACACCTTGGGATCTGCAACAACAGCTTTCATGATTTCCTGAAAACAAAAGTAACATCCTACTACAAGCTTGGACTCTATTTGGAAGTATTTATTTATATGTGGAATTTGAACTCATAATGAACTTATACATTTGGGTCATAAATTCAGGGTCTAAAAGTGTGACATTTTTGTGTCCCGGTTACACCTGACCTGTGTAATTTGGCATGGAAATATCACTGAAATTGATTTCAAACTATTTCGATTTGTTTGGCAGGTAATTTACATTAATTCATCACTCTTGGAAATTACAGGTGTTCTGCACTTACAAAATCATATGTCAGATAGAAAAATTGGACCCTTAATTTAAAGAGTAATCCAAGGGTATTCATTTTTATAGCAGCAGAGATGTGCTAAGATCCACCTGAACCTTACCTGATATTTCATATCCACACCTTCAAACAAATTGGCCAAATTCTGACACTCCTGTCTCAAGTTCTCATCCCCAAAGACACGGCTAAGGTACAGCCACTGTTGATAGACAATGAACCACAACTAAACAGTTCAACCCTAGTCCAGATCGTCTTACAGTCAAGGAAAAGTTTCGTCATGAAAACAAATACACTATGAATGTAATACACACTGTTGGAGTAATAATGATTACTTTCTGCTGTTGCAGCTTTTGCATTAAAGGCTGCAACCGAATCTGTTGTCTAGAGCTAGGTCTAGGTCTTTGCTCCATTGGCATACGTGGAGATGTGCAGACAACAGACCTAGCCGTAGTTCTGGAAGCCCGTTTCGGACACAGCCTGAGTTTATTATTTCAGTTGAGCCCTGACCTTAGTCTGGCAAGCAGTCCACAGGTCTAATATCTCTTGTACACGTCTGAGGGTTGAGCACCAGACCTCTGCCTCAGTTCGTAGGTCAGCCAAGTGGGGTGAGACCAGCATGCATTGTAGTGTCACCAGATTGTCCTGAGTATGAAATAATGATTAGATGTAGCAGACACCAGCCTGTAAGTTTCTGAACTCGTTCTGATACTGCCTTTCTTGACAGGACTTTAAATTTGAAGTTTAAATGGGCCGAACAGAAATTATTCCTAAACTAAAGAAACAAAACAGCGGCGGGCACTCAGGATTTGTCACAGGGGGAGTGGCTCAGATGGGAATTCCCCCTCCCCCAATGATCTCCATGATGCTCACGCCCCCAACCTCTGGCACCAAAGAGGACTGGTATGTACGGTTACATCACAGCTAGTACTTAAAAAAAATTAAGTAAAAAAATTGAAAACTTCAGGGGTAAACCTCCCTCCCTCAAGTCCTCGGGGGCACCACTGGAACGTAAACAAGTTATGAGATGAGAAGGCCATTTTGTGAGTATGGTCCATTTTTTCCTTCAGTCTCAAATCCACCCTGAATGACACTTCATTCACCCCTCTCACAATCCCACCTAACTGTTGCTGTACCCACCTCCAGCATATATTTCAGCTCCGCCTCTCCAATCAGTATAAACATATCTGGTATGTTGGTGATTGCTGGCATGGCTGCTGCCACTGATTGTCTGACTGGAATATCTTTAGACAGACCCTTGTTTCCTTTCTTGTGTTTACCATCAACAACTGTTAAAATAAACAAAAATGAGCCACATCAACACAGATAAATCAGCCAAAATATGTTTCTTCAACGAGCAGTTTTTCACCCGCATTATTTATTTGATAGCACTACAATCTTACCTTTCTTGGCCTTGATAACTGGGATATGCTTGGCCAGCTTGAATTCCTTGTCTTCCCACAATCTTCTCAGCTTGATCAAGGATTGCTCCAAGGCAAACTCACCAGCTGCTCCATTACAGATGGTATTAATCTGTAGGCTATGCTCACTCAAGTTGAAGGACAGTAGCTCTTGGACGGTGTAGAAGTGGGAAGGTTCATAGACTTGACCTAGACTGACAAACAGAGCTTTCCAATGGCGAGGCTGGAAGGTCAAGATCAGAAATCTCAATAAGTCCAAGTTTACACGCAACAGTCAAACATTGTCTTCAAAGGTACCAACTCAAACTGATTTCGTCTCTTGAGTCAAGCACTGAGAAAGACCCTAGTGAAGCTGATTGAACTGTTGGTCTTCAGCAACTCCAGTGACTGGTTAACTCACCTTGAGAGCATTACTGGACAACTTTTTGAGTAGTGGCAGATCCTGCTTGAAGTCTGATAGCAGACGGTACCAATGAGCCAAGACTTGATCTCCTGGTGGTAGCTGCTGTTTCAACTGTCCAGCTGCTTGCTGCCACTCAGTCACCTTGTCCAGTGCCTTGCTCACATTCATCTAAGGGGAAATAGAAAGGCTAATGTGTATCAGCATCGGGTTGCCAGAGGTGCTACTGACTTTAATCTCAAAGATCACAGGACAGAAGCTGGGATAGCCAAGCATCTTGCTGGGACCAATTTCACGGAGCTGCTTAACAGTTAGCAGAATATCAAGCTAACTTCAGCAGAAACATTGGCTATTAAACCTTAAGCACTATTTCATGGCCGGTGGTTGGTGTGGTTTTGCTAATGGTTGCAGGCGCACAGAGATTTCTACTGTTACATCACAAAGTTTAAGCACGTTTTTCCTCCAAGGTTAGCAAGCCTTTGGATGTGCTTACTGCTTATGGTCTCCATGAAATATGTGGAGCTTCTGTTAGCAAGAAATCGTACGCTAAGCTGTGCTGTGAAATGGGGGTCCTAATCTCCTTTTCCTACCTTCCTGAAGAGCTGCTGTTTCCAATCCTTGATGTTATAAGTTGACACCTCGACATAGCTCCAGAGAGTCAGCCTGACCTTCATCCTAGCTAGCATGACACCAAGCTGTGATGTCTCAAATTTCTGACCCATGATTTTCTCTCGGTAGTGACTGCATTGCACCATGCCAGTCTGAACTTTGTTGAACTCCTCTATCAGCTACAGAAACCAAAGTAGAGTTGTCATTCGCAAATCTATATTCAGTCAGGAGGCAGTCTAATATCTGATCAAGACTGGCAAAATGAGGCTCATTCCAGAATTTGACATGAGCTCAATCTAGCCTAGGTGCAGCCCTCCAGTATATCATTCATAAGGTCTCCACAGTCTCAAACACACTCCCATCGATGGCAAGTCTGGACTTTGATCACAAGTCCCAACCTATCCAGTCAGAGGCTATTCAAAGCTTGCAATGAGCAAGAGGAATGTGCTAGCAAACAGGTGAGCTTACTGCTTTGAGGGGTGGAAGGAGATGAGTAGGGTTCTTGGAAGGGTCTAGGTAGTCTCCACTGGTTGCTGTACTTGAAATACGCACTGCTTCCGAGTTCAGTTTCTGAAAAAAGACATATAAAATATGAGCTGAGCTACACCAACACACGTCTATATATTTTGAAATAGTTACTCGTCGATGGAATTATGGTGTCAAACAGTAACTTGCTCGTCAAAAGTCGGGTGAGTCAGAGACACAAGACTAATGACAGGTTTCGTGGCTCACCACTCAAATGACTCATACCTCATAAGTATCCTCCAAGTAGCTCATCTGGATGGGTGTCTGAGTGTTGACAAACTCAGCAGCATCTTGAAGTTGTAGCAGGAAGGCCTCCCAGCTCTGCCAAACCTTCTCCTCGCATTTCTCCTCATCGGTCGTCAGGGATCGGTAACTCAGACGAATCACCTACAAGGTCAGAAATCAAGTGTAAGAGAGCAAGTCCGATTATCCCAGCATATAACACTTTAAATTCTTAAAATGGTCTTCCAGTGAACTTCTAAATTGTCCAGACAAACTCTCTACTGCTATTTTTCCAGCGATACAGACAGCGTTATCTTTAATACATGTACCTCAAAGAGCGACTTGATGTACTCGACCTCCTTCTGTAGGTCTGGCATCTTGACTTTGTATGTGCTATACTGCTGAGCATAATTGGCAAAGACAGCTATGTCTGTGTCTTTGTTCTTCATTCCCTGAGGAATAAACATATCACTGAGTATTGAAACACTGCTGCAGGTCCTGTAGCATACAGTCGAACAAGGATAAGAAGAGCATTTATAATACAAAAGAACATCTTAGGTCCCACGTCTTTGTTCTTCTTTGATAATCCAACAGGTCCATTTGTACTGTCTCAAGACCTTGTTATGACAGTGTTCCACTGTATTTGACTACCAATTTTCACCAGCCAATTACGTAATTACATACATATATATTTATATTTTCTTTTGGATTTATATTAAGTTTTTATATTTCTACTTTTCTCATTTTATTTATTTATTCTTTATTTTATTTTTTTCCGTGTTTTTTATTTTTATTTGTTGTTCTTAATTGGTGTTTACCTGTTTCGTTTAATTTTTATATCATTCTTTTTATTCTTTGTTTCATTTTATTTAGTCATGTTGTCTTTTTTGCCTCGATGGCCGCCCATAAGTAATTACATACACCGCAGCATTTACTTTCAAGACCACAGCAAACTACAATCAACTCCTCATGGAAGCATTTTCCCTTTCTTGAGGATTTTCTTTTATTCTGATCTTACCTCTACAACCATCTTGACCTCTGAGATGAATGCCATGGAGAACTTCTTCGCCTCGCTGGCAACAAAGTTCAGCAGGTCTCTGAATGCTGCAGTCAAGGCCGGAACCAGGTCCTCCTGAATGGCACTGCAGTCTACTAGGAAGAGGCCGTTACTAGTCCTGAAGGTTCTGTCAACGTTGCGAACCTTTTCACTCCAGTCTCTGATTTGACCCAATTTTGTCTGGAGAAATAACATTAACTTGTATGAATAAAAAGCAGCTTCAGTAAATTTCTAATAAATATCTTTCTGCATAACCAATGCGGGAAACAAAAAAGAACAGACTTGGTAATTGTTTATGTTTGCCTCCAATACAAATGTAAGAAAGCATACCTATTTGTAGATACTTAGAAAACTTAAGGGCCACCAAGATTTTGGTTGATAATACCAATTCTTAAGAAAACTAGGAATATACTGCAAAGTTTGTGTGACGCTGAAACTATACACCTATTTGACAGAAACTACAGTAAATCTTCAAATAATTTCAAGGACACTCCTACTTTCTATGAAGAACTAAACGAGAAATTTAATCTTAAGGTCAGTCAATAATTACCTCCACAGCATATGCTTGAGCTCGTTTCCAGGCTTGGACAGATTCAGGCTTCCAACTCAATGTAAATTGATGGATCTCCATTAGCCATGTCTGCTCATTACAGAAAGCTTTGATGTCATGAATCGCTGAGTCCATCAGTGATTGATAGTTAGTCATGGCTGCTGTCACCTCAACGCTGTCAAAAGGTTAAAGGTCAAACAAACCAAGAGAAAATAGAAGCTTGTTTTTATATCACCTGTAAAACCTACAGTATCCTGGTTCAATGAGTCCTTTGTACTACAAAGTCACAAGTCACACTTCACAAAATAAGACACAAGTTTGAAACTTAAATGGCTTGCTTTCAACTCAAGTTGACCAAACATTCTGAACTTAAGCAGTTTATTGAAGGGTGCGTTCACACGGATACTCCTGTTAACACAAGTAGGATGTGTGAGCATTACACTCGGGTACAGGGGTATACACCCCCTCTAGCAAGAGACCCTCGGGTCGTACTCCAGCCGTTTGAGCACTCAAGAGTATACTGGTGTTAACAGCGAGTAGCTTGCTTAAACGCACCCTTACTGTTCATGTCCAACATTTTATTCCAGCTTCAATTTACATTAAATAGAACTCAGCTAACTTACTCATTCTCCAGTGTATCAATCAGATTGTTCTGGTTCAGTGGGCTGTATTGTCCCATCATACCCCGACCTTTGACCTGCAGGTCATCCTGCAGAGAGGCCTTCATGACAAGGTCAGGGGTTGCAACCCCTAGCTGGTCAGTAGATTTGGTTCTTTCTTCTGACATTGAGAATGAGATCAAGTATAAGTGAATGAAGAGACTTCATTAGTTTTGGCCTTTGAATTGATTTACTGATCTACGGTTTTTGAATTACTTTCCTGGCTGATATGACAATAGAATTGTCGCAACATAATATTAAAAAAACTATGATCAAAATTGCTATTATTTTACAAAATATTGAAATATCATGACATCTCTGGTATCGTTTTTAATATTCATGATTTTTTTTCTCAACCTGAATTTTCCAGAAAAAATCAATGCTACTAAACCTCACTGATTTCCACCATCTCATCAAACTCAACCTCATTTTGCTGCACAATGTGCATGTATAAAGTTGTCACAACATAACACTGAAATTCTCAAGGATTCCAAAAACGTTTCATGCCAAACAAGCATAAAACTGGAAATGCGCAAAGCAAAACGCAATTTTATTGGTGCCATTTTCTTACGCCTTTGGTCAAGCTTTTGAAAATAACAACCAAAAAAATTTGATTTTTTGGTGCTGAGGCTGCTGGTATGATGATTGATTTTTAAGGAAATTTGAATTATTTGCAAACATTCGGATTGAGTTATGCAAGAAATAAAACAAAAACTTTGTCTGTTTACCTAGCAGTTGATAATAAGCAATTTTTCCAAGCCAAATTGTTCATGCATTTGTATGGAAAGTACGGGGGGTTAGCATGCAGAATGTTTGGACTATTTTACATCATATTGGTGATATCGCTGGGGGAAAAAAATTGGCTTCCAAAAAATCAGTATCATCAGTTCCATTTTGGACTCACCTCTTTCTGACCAAATTGGAGCACTGATAGTCTCATCTCCTTCCTGTGTCTGGCGTGGAGTACAGTCTGTCTCATCCATACTTCCATAATCACTCTCCCCATCATGAGAGTCTGATCCATGACTAAACTCTTCATCATCCATCTGAGGCAGATCTACTTCAGAGGTGCTCACTGTCTGCGCTACATCCGTCTTGGTGCCGGACTTAAAGGTGACTACGGACTTGCGGGCTGTGTTGGTAGACTTCTGGGTGACAGTTGACCTGTTGTCAGGAATGGACTCTGCCTGTAGAGGTCTGAAGAAGCCAGAGAGCTCTAATTTAGGATTGAGCTTCAAAAGGTTTCTGGTGTTGACTAGATGACCAATATTGCATCGGCAAATATAATAAACAAGTACTACAGTGGACAAGGACTAGTGTAAGTAATGCCCCTGGCCTTTGGGATAACGTTGTCCAAAAAGCATAATTCCTTCAGTTGAAAAACAACATCACGATCTCATACAGCACAGATGAAGAGTTCATTACTCTACCTATCGTGACCAGTCTTTGTCCTGGGTGATGTTGCTGCTTGACCCGTTTCTTTCTCTCCACCTATCCAGCCACTGGTAACTGTCTCCATTGGATGAGACTTACTACTGATAAGCATTGGAATCTGATTCAATAGACTGGTCAGACTGTCTGTGAAGGTTTCCTTGCTGGGGTACAAACTCAGAGTACCTGAAAACAACACAGAAACAACCAAATCAGAACTACTACCACACAATTGACAGTGATGCAGTAGAAATGATTCTCTGAGACTCAGTCAAAGACTGGAACAAGAAACTCCACAACGTATGCAACGTTGCTGTCTGCTAATACTTCAGGTATTTCAAAAGAGAAGAGTATTCTACAAAGTTTGAAGAATAAAAAAGGGATCTTTCAAACAGTTTATTAGAACATTATTTGGGAAGGCTAGTTCGTAATTTCATTTCTTTTTTGTGGAAACAGGTATTAATTTCTGATATCAAAAGCCAGGCTGTCAACAGGAGTGTGTTTGATGCAGTGTCTTGCCTGACTTTGGAGTCCTTAAGGTATATATGTGCATGTCTTAAAGCTAAGTCCATTCTCAACTTTATAACAAATCCTTACTTTCTTCGGTAAAGACCAGCTTGGCTGCAAACAGTGCCTCTCTCTTGGCATCTGAACCGTTAGCCATGGTGGTGTTGACAAAGTGGCATATGTTAGTCCTGGCTAGAGCTAGGAGATGGCATAGCAAGATCTGATCTACAAGCTGAACAAAGTTGCCAAGATGCCTAAAAGAGGAAAACAAAAAGTTGTGGTGAAGTGCCTTGCTCAAGGACACAAACAGCTTGCTCCTTCCTGAACGTAGATGCCATAGACAGACAACCAAACAGAGATGTGTCGGCTAATCATGAATGGGAGCAATTCCTACCTTGTCTCCTCTTGAGCCCTTTTCAGGTTTTGCTCCCTCTGTTCTTTCTTCTGACGTTGAACATACAGGGACTCTTTTGAACTGAAGGATTGAAAAAAAAATGTCTTTCGCAACAGATAAGACTGATACGTGTGAAAGATTGCTTAACTGCAATAATCCATCAGAAAACAGTTTGAGCTAACTGACAGAGCGAGTCTTAAAGAGGACGTTTCGAAGACAAAATCTGATCCCGAAATAAGTAAAATCCTATCATCTGTTTCATTACAAGATCACAATTATGAATTCAAGTTCTGATTCAAGGTCTGTAGTCTTACTTACAAGAGTGCCTTGTCTTTCTTAGCCTGTGCTTCACAGAAATGTAACTTGTCAAAAGAATCCTGGCAAGTTCTCTCCATGATTAGTTTACAGTAACTGTGGACAAAGTTAAGATGGTTGCGGTCAGTTTGGCATAGGTGTGGAGTAAAATTCTCCAAGTTAGAGTGCATCTTAAGTAAACATTCCAAGTGGAACTTAGTTTTTCTGTTGCAATGTTCAAGGTTGACTCGAAGTCTTTTCTCAGAGACTCAGAATCATTTGGGGCAACAGTCAACTCATTAAGATTTGATTTTCAAGACAAGTCAGCTATGTTTACTGCAATGCTCTAAAAGCATCAAAGGGGTCAGGTTGGTGCAGCAACTCCTTCCTTGCCTTCCACCTCTGGGGCCCTGGTTCAAATCCCATTTCGGTCATCAGGTGAAGTAGGTCCTCAGTCTTCGCCGATTTCATGGGTTTTCCCAGAATATTTATGAAGGGATTTGATCCCACCTCTAAAAACTGAACAAGTCTTGACTTGTTTCTTCACAGTCACTCATAAACATCCTGAAATTGGTGCAGAATGCATTGTTGGAAGAATAGAAACAAACAAACAAACAGAAATCAAAAGACCCTCTAGTACAAACTTGACTTACTTGAAGAATTTGTCCAAGATTCCTTCACCTGCTCGTTGCTTCATCTTGGCTGCATGCTCAAACTCAGCAAGGGTGAAACAATGGCTGGTTGACCAAAAAAAAAATGCTGGAGTCTTGTATGAGAGATGTCAGAACCTGTGACAATCTAACTCACATGTAAGTCACACTATCTTAAAATGATTCAACCACGATCAACAGATAATGTCTAATTACAATGTCACCGAACAATAAGCATAAAATATGGTGAGAAGGGATTCTTGAAAACTAATGGTTTAATGGAGCAGGCTTACTCTTGTTCCAAGGGCAGCAGTTTGACTGTAGACAGTTCCTGTAATAACTTGGACACCTGCAGCAAGGCAGCACCAAAGACAGGTACAGCAAGTAGCAGCGATTGCTGCACATGATGACGAATTTTACTGTACTCCAGGAATTTCTTGTTAGAGAGCCACCTGTGATATCACATGGGAGAAGAAATCTTTGCAAGGTAAATCTGACAGGACAAAAGGGATTTGAAGTCGTAAACTTCTTTACCTAAACTTTCAGCTTTGTTACCTGTGAAATGCCTTCCTGATGAGGAAATATTTAAAGAACGGCATCTTAGTCAGCGTGCTCCACAAGACGGCCTCTCTATGCCAGTCATACAATGACATGCTCTCTGCTGTCTGACCTTTGACCTTATGCATAATGCCAAAGCAGGAGACAATCCAATGCTCATTGGGGTCCGCCTGAGGGGGGACAAAATCACATGTTATATCTCACAGTAAATGTCATGTTTTGATCCACACAAGTATAAGCGTCACACCTTTAAACTAAATTCACGTCTTTCATTTATTTTGATTTGATCAAAATGCAAGAAGTTGCTGAAAAGACAAAGTTGTCCATTTTTACAATATCTTTAGTCTAATGCTGTGCATACATTTCTGATCTTGGAATACGATATTTATTTCAATCATATCCGTTGTCATATATACTGCTTAATAAGCATTATCAAATATCACAGATTTGCTTGTTTTCTTGAATACCTACCTTGTGTTTTGGGACAGCTACAAGGTCATAGGGACGAAAGTGACGATTTGGTGCTTTGTTAAGGTAGACAAACTTGGCTTGGCCTAAGTGACGACCCTTGCCAAATAACTCCACTGCTTCCTTGCCTGTCAAGGGTGGGGGTGGGGGAAGCTGCACCAGAACAGAACGACCAACCAACAGACAAGAGGTTAAACAGTATCATGAAAGTAGCAAAGCAATGGTGTCAAGGTCTTTGTCGTATACGTACATGTAATGAGAACAAGTTTGGAGTGGTTATGTTTCATTTCAAAGCAGTACTGAACAACTACTAATAAATGCCAAATTTAAGCCAAACTGAGGAATGATTCCCTGAGAGTTACTCCTGTGAAAAGGAAAGTGGATGAAAGAAGGAAAACGCAACACCTACGGATTCTTCCTCTTCGCTGATGGCATAGTCTTCCTTAAAGAGGGTGGAGTCTACAGTCCAGGAGGGTGTGGTTTCTTGTGCAGTGGATGTCTGGGCAAGAACAGATCCAGAAGATACCTGCCAAAAAGAGTGTTTAGAATGACATTAAAATGGAAAGGGTACAAAGTTACCATAGATTTCATGAAATTCATGATAGAATTCACTGACTCTTATCTAGTAGTCTCTTATCTAGTAAGTTTCTTACTTCTTTCTACTGTCACGCCATAAGAATCAAGTTAGGGCAGAGCAAGCCCAACATTCCTAATTAAAATTCCACACAATATCCTGCATTTTTAAGTGAATGCTTTGAGGGTTTGGAAATTCCATTTTGAAAACATGTTCATCCATTTAGAGTCCCAAAATACCAAACTATAATATTCTTATTTCCAAGATAGATTTGCACCGGGGAGATGTCAATTAATGTTGCATTTTTTGCCCTGCCCGATGTGTATGATAACACAGTATATTCAGTGTTTGCACCTGAAGACTTGTGGAAAAAAAACAAAAGTGTACTCCAAATGACATCTCCCAGCGCAAATCCATCCTTGGAAATAGTTGTTTGTGGTACCCGCTGCTACATCTGACTCCAACCAGCCAGACGTTTGCACTAGTAAGCAGGTCATGGGCTTGAGTCCCACCCAAGTGCGCTTGTTTTTTTTTTTTTCCCACAAGTCTTCAGGGGCAAACACTGAGTATACAGTGTTATATGTCGGGCAGGGCAAAAATCCAAAATTAAAAATATACTCAGGAAGTTCAGATTTTTGTATGAACATGAACTTTTCCAAGTAGCGTTTTGGTTCTATCCACTCCTTACCTTCTCCTGTAAGTCAAGGTTGAGTGCAGCCGCTGTCAGACCTAATCCCTCGCTCCAAACAGCTTCACGTTTGGTAGTCTCCTGTACCACAGCAGGCAAAGCTTCTCGTATATCACTGAAGTAAAGTCCTCTGGGCTGGAATCCTGCTTCTTCACCCTGTCAAACGGTTGATGACAATCAAAGAAATCATGCCTTACTTGTCGGTGTGAGTATAATAAAAAAATTAAAATATTTAAAAAACCAGTAGCAGTTATTACAAAGTTAAAGTTATCAATGTTACAACACTTTGTGGTCATGTAACTTTTTCCAAACTTGAGTTTTATAACCTTACTTTCATTTGCTGGAGCAGACAGCATTACAGAGATATTAACCATGTTCATGTACATTGTACTAAGACAGCCAAGCGTAACAAAAAAAATCCAGATAAGGTTTAATTCTATCTTACTTACAGGTCGTTCCAGTGTGTAGGGATGTTTGCCATTGGGAAGGAGCATTGGGTCATAATGGTTATCATCTGAGCTGGGTAAGCTCATTTTGGGTGGGGTAGGCGTACGGAAATTCCTGTCATCTCCACCAGACACAGCTAGGAGTTCTGAACGCTGCAGGTCAAAAGAAAAACAAGATTTGCAGCAGGACACAAAACAACAGTCTCAAACTAAAGTATGACACCTTTAATCAAGCAGATTAAGTGCACTCAGAATTTTCAAATAGCAACAATATGAGAAGTTAAATAAATAATAATTAATGAGTTCTATTTCGTTGTTTTTGTCTCAATATTCCAGAGAAAGAAAAATAGAGAATTTGTAATGTAGGGCTTACTTCTACAAATTTTTGAAATGACAAGTTACAATCAGGCATACACGTCCCTGCAAACTTGGTAAGATACAAGATAAAGTGTGATCAGCATACCTTTGGGAAGACTCTGGACAGACTATCAATGATATTGGGACCTGTTTGCTGTTTCTTAGCTCTCTGCAGGGCCTGATAGTAAATCCTATCCACATAATGAGAAATCTACACCAAAACACAGTCAAATACAAATGAATTTAAAAATTAAAAAAACTGTTTCCTTTTCTGCACATATAGGCTCACTCTGTACACAGCAATACGTGTACTGTCACTGTGCAAGTTAGTGGCGTCTTCTATTTGCATTGAGCGAAAGCACCCCCTTGTCGGTTGAAAAGAGCTATGTTGGTAGGGAGTGTTCATTTTGTTGGCAGCAATGAGATCGTAACACGTGCAGTTCCCACCAAAGGAGCCTTCATTGCTAGGAAAATATCACCCTCTCTTTGTCCTGCTCGGAGCTTATGAATTTCTATAATCACTTGACTTAAGGTTTGGTCTTGCACACCTTTTAGTGCTGTCTTGACTTCCTCACTGGTTGCAAATTTTGTTGTCGTTTTGGTTTAATAGGCACACTTTATTTTGTCAATAATCAGTTTCAATTCGTGTACATTATTGGGTCATATAAAAAAAACTAATTACTGTCCATTCACCTCTGGTCTATCTCCAATGAGCTGGGTGTAAGGAATAATGACATCAAGGACATCTTGCAGTAATCTCCAGTACGCTGGGCTATGGAAAAAAAATCCATATTTTGAGTATTTGAAATCAATACTTTGGCTGCTCAAAACAGAATTTTCACATTCAATTCCACCTTCCATAAACTTAGGAAACATGAATGGGAGGGATGGTTATGTTTTAAAAGCAGACGATGGCTAAGAGTCACCCACCTGTTGTTCTGCAGTGTAACAATGAAGACCTCCCTCAGTTGTCTCATTAATTCCAACACATCTTTCTCCATTACCACTGACTCTGTCTCTCTCCTTAACCCCCTATCCAAGCGCCCTCTGGTGTCTGCAGCCCACTGGGTGACATCCTGCTGAATATCAGCAAGACTATCTGAGTCTGTCATGGAGGAGGCCTTTGTGTTGAGCGGTGTTGGTGGGTCCGATACAAGGGCGGCACCATGTTGATTGGGGCTCACAGGCGAGGAGGAAATTTCATTGGTGGATGACATTATCACGATAATGTAGGCTCACTAAATGTAACTGACCCACACAGGTGTTAGGTCTACTTCGGCATCATGCCTGGCGTAATGTCACCTCGTCTACCAAGATCAACAGAAAGAAAGAAAAGGCATGAATTTGTGTAAATTCTTACTGGAGGAATTACCACAGGAACAAACACACAGAGCCTTATTTGCTCAGTTAAGCAAAAGCAATGGGAAAAGGAACATTATTTGAACACTGAGTCTGTCCCCCAAGTGAACCCTTTCCGACGATAAAAACTATTTTGGGTGGACAGACAGAAATTGAAATGGCCAGTTGTACATAAAACAGGGTGCCAATCCTCCATTGTGAATGTGAAACCCCAATTAAATCTGTTTAAATACCTTTATCGTGAAATACATGATCAAAAACAAACATTTGGAGAGGTTTTAAACAAAATTTTTCTTAAAAAATTCTTTCTCATTCCAGTCGTAAAACAGCCACATCATCTGATTGTGAAATTAAGCCACAGCCAGGCAGCTATCCTAACTGACCTTCCACCATATTTCAGCCAGTAATAAGTAGGGCCTACATCTAATGTACGTGACCATGACTCGGGCAGACATGCACAAAATGAAAAATAGTATATTTGTGAATCCTCCTGCCCATAGACCAAACCAAAATCTAGCAATGACACCAGAGTATACATACGTTGCTCGACTATGCAATGATGAGCTATTTTTGGATCAGGTTTGCATATGACATCGATATCTTTATCGGCTGAAAACTTCAATACAAATTGCTCTGATTGATCAAATTTACAGGAAACATGCTACCCAGAGCTAAATGAATCTTTCCTTTCATTTCGTATTTCTAAAAGCAGATCAACGTGATATTTTGGTTGAATCTTGCACTGGAAGTGTTGGGTAGGCTAGGTGAGTTCAATTCTGCCAATGAAAACATTTACACAATAAAAATAAAGTTTTGCCGAAGGTTACTTTATGCATGAAAATGTTGCCATGAAAAATCTCCATCGATTCATCATGGTGAATTTTATGTATACTGGGGCAATTTTCCAAAATAGCTTTCGGAAATAGTTTTGCAATGGCATAGACTACAATCAATGGCAACGGCGGGCCATGTTGATTGCTGGCAGTTAGTTAGTTTCCCAAAATCTTGAAGGAAAACAACATCATTATCACGTGACCTGATAAAAATGATGCCACTGCCACTTGAACATGCAACATATTAAGCAGAAACCAGGGACATTGCTAGATTGTGGCTTGGTCCACGACCTGTTAGAAGTAGAATAGGCCTTGATGGAGTTTCACATTTCGTATGTTATTAATCAAACTTGTCAGACTCAGAGCTCGGAGACTGGTATCAAACATGTCAGAGTAGCCTACCCCCTGAGCTGTAGGGTCCGACATCCACCTAGTCCCACACGTAGGTCTGTGGATGGCTCTCCTTTAGAATCTGTCTCTTTTCTGGTGGCGACAGAAAAGAGACAGATTTCAAAAGAGAGCACGTCTGTCCCGCTCGTGGCGGATCGATGTCGGACCCAGTCTAGTTCTGGGACAAACGAAGAGCCCCCCCCCCTCATGGTTCCATTTACATGAGTAAACGTCATATAAGCAATACTTATTCAATAAAACGCGTCAAAAATTCCGAAAAACCAACCAGAAAGTAAATTCTCTTCCGTTTTCAAAACCTGTCAAAAATCGCCAAACGAAAGCTTCGTGTTGCCAAGTCGCCATTTTCCTTCCCGAAATAAATAAACCAAATTGCGCAGCGCCCTCTTGCACCATGGAAAGACAGCCTAAGGTTGCACTACACCATCTACGCGCCCATAGAAAACGGTGCTAAATCGGACCGAAATAGCGCCGTCTGTTGACTTTCGTGAAAAGGTTGGCCTCCCTTTTTTCACTGGAAATCCAAGATTATGGCCAGAAGATCACTTTTCGTTTCAATTTCATGGGGGTTAGCCACGAAAATTTTTTATTCACCTTTGAATGAAGATACCCCCAAAATAGCAATAGAATTAGCGGACTGTACCCTTCACAATTATGAAATGAGAGTAAAGGGAACCAGTTGCAAGCCATCTTTAGATAGACACCGTACGACGTCAGAAGGCCTCGTGATGTACCAAAAATGGTTCAAAGGCAAAATAAGTGGAATAGTGTCCCGGTTATTCACGTTTTTTCATTGTGATGTGTTAAACACACCTTCCGGGTCACACGTATTAGACTTCAGCAACACGCGCTGGGTCAACCTATTCGCACGCAAATAGCTTTATATTTTTAATATATTATACCTGAAACCGAAAACAGGCTTAATGCCTTTGGCTTATGGTCTATGTGCTTTGGTGACTTGGTGTCCGTTTTTATCAACATGCGCTATGCTGAAAAAAATAGCTTCGAAAAGACAGGGCTTCGGTAAAACAGTTTGTGCGTCCGTCAGCAAGGCCCAAGTACAGTTTGTCTGGGTTCGGTCGCGCTGCCGCAGCTTGTGTGTCACCGTGACTCCCTGCACGTACGTACGTACGTAGGCCTGTATGTCTGGACTTCTGTGGTTTTAACTAAGAGGCCTTTGCCAACTCTGGTTATGGGCCGAACATGAAATTGCAGATGTTAATAGGCTACAGAAGAGCACAAGTAGTATGCGATGGCGCACAACTTAACTAGAGCGAAGATCAGGAAGAGTACGCGTTTTAATAAAACGCCCTCTAGCGCCAACATGTGGCAATCCCAACTTGAATGATTATGATGGTTAACATGCATCATAATAGAGATAAAAATGAAGAGAAAAGCAGCGGATTTGAAGTTTGTCGACGTGCGTAAAAATATGAAGATGTAGGCTTGCTGGCAAAATACATCAACTACCACATTAAAGTTACCGATTATAACAAAGCAAATGGGAAGGAAAGACAACACAAGACTCACAATGCAATTTAGGTCCAAACTTGATTGATGACCAGAATTCAATTGCTGATGATTAATGTCCGGAATTCTATAATAAATTCACCGTTAGGTGACATTTTATAATTTTTTTTTCAAGAACCCACTGAACAGGAAGTCACTGATAAATGAATCAGTCAAGAAATAGCACTTCAAGCGCTCGATCAAAATTAAATTAATTTTGATCGATGACCTCGATCAAATATTTTATTCGGCCTTGAAATTAACCAATAAAATGAAACAGAGAGAAACTAGATTTCAGCAACAAGGGGCTGTCATCCATCCATCCATGAACAAAGGGAGATGTGAGAACCATGTTTTGCAGGAAGCCGATAATAAATTGAGTAACTCAAAGACAAGCGGCTTTTGTAGAACTTAGACAAAGCTTGTCTTACATCAACCGGGCGAGAAATTTGATGATCCAATTTTCTTGGTCGTGAAACTCGTTCGGCCAGATACGACGCAGTGATCCGGCTCAAAGTGATGGCCGGATCCCATGTACCCTTACCTGCATCCAACGGGGTGTCCGCGTCAATCAGCGGTATGGATTAATTGGCGGTGCCTCGGTGATCTGTTCGCGCCTCAGTTGGGCCGCAGTGTTCTGAACTTCACCTTCTCCGGTTCAGATGATGGCGCATTGTCAGTGGACTGAGTTCAGTACCAAAATAGATGATGCTTTTGTCGTTAAGTGCTTGAGCAATATGATAGCTAAAAGAGGAAATTATCAAGATGTATTTTTTTTTAAAATTAAAAGAGGAAAGCGATTACTGATGAGTCTCACCAGGCTGTGGTGGTCATCAGTCATTAACAATTAGCAGGATTGTCTTCCATTCAATAATGGTTTGAGAAAATGAAAAAAAGAAAGAAATACCTTGTAAAAAGTGCAAAGTCTGTCATGTATGAAAATTAATATTCGTAAGATAGATTAATTTGGTTGGCGATGTGACAACTGATTGAAGAAGTACGAAGTGATCATTAAGGACGTGAAGAAATTGTTTTAAACTGTGAATGTGATCCATACTGATTTTTTAAAGAACTAATGCATGAATGTAACGTTTTCAAACAAATATGTACGGACAATATATGTAATGTTTTACGGTAACTCCAATCACGTGCACATCTGCCATTCTCCAAAATATTGCGTCATTTCAGTCCAATGCTCCGTTTTTGTCTATCCACACTGGGAGCGTACTAGACAAACGAATGAATATTCTGACACAATTCACAATTGTAAGGAGATCATGAGGGGCTACGGGTCCATCTGTGAATCTAAATCCGTGAAGATAAAACAACCATGGATCATAATTAAATAGGATATGTAAACTCGTTAAGATCGAAACCGAATGCTGGTCACCGCGCAGACACCATGGCACCAGGCGGGAAGCGTACGTGATACTGTATCCTTACAGAACGACAGTGTATTAGTCTTGCCCACCAGCCTTAATTAACAACCAAAAAAAAATGTATCCCTTCCATGTGCGCCGCCATTTCACATTTTGAACGCTGATTAATTTCGCAGCAGTGTCACTGAGTTTGAGCCATTCTGGTTAAGAGTAGGATTGTTGGGGTTGCGGATGAGGCAGGGCTTGGAAAGGCAACTGATACAGTGAACTTGTTTTTAAGTTGTCTGATGCCATCGTCACTGGAGCTCCAATGCGTGCTCAACCAAAGAAATGTTCTTTGTGATATCAAAGTTTGGAAATAAATATTTAAAGAAAGACATTATTATTTTATTTAGGTGTGTCCGCCCTAGGGATGGGACCATACTTGTCCTTGTCCCCAAAGAAAAGAAGATTAAACAACAGTCCAAAAACAAACGTTTCGGCAGGTGTATCTGTCTGAATGCAACATTTGGAAAGAAATAATAGTACCAACAGCTGGAGAGCAAAGACTGACTACAACACCACTGTACTTTCTATGGTCCAGGACTGCAGTATCCTACATCCGGAGCTGCAGAGAGAAACAGGAACACTAGCCATGATCGCAAACATACATAAACCATCATGTCCCGAATCTTTCCTGTTCAAAATACTATTAAGGTCCGTCAGAAAAACACCTCGGAGTGATCTGCCTTTTCAGACGAATTCATCAAGTGAGTTGTCAATACTACCCACAGTTTGCAAGTTTCCATTTGTGTTTATGTTTGTTTTTGTCTAAATATAGCAGAAAGTTGTTTGTTTTTCTTTGTAAATTCCGAAATTCACAGCATGAACCATAACACTGCAGTATTCTGTATTCGATACCGACCAAGCATCACACGCTCACCGTATGATCTATTTCAAGTAATCCTCTCAGCGTTTTCGTGATGTTCGCATGTCGTAGCTTAAAAAGGGGGCTGACTTATGGACAGTGTCCTCTGGCTGGCAGTGTGAAGGTGGTACTGGAAGATGCACGGATTGTATATTGGCGATTGCGACGCTAAGTTTTTCTCTTCCCAGTCGAGCTGAACTTAAGTTTAATCCCTGCGCTGCATAAAAACGATCGTTATGAATGATAGTTCAACTCACTAAAAATAAGCCATCGATTCATCGCATCTTTTGTCAAACCCAGATGCCCGGCACGAATCTCAGCTGTAGCTCTCAACACCTCCATTCTATGAAGAGGTGTGTAGCCTAGCAGAGTAAGCTGTGTTCCCGCTCAGCAATCAAACGACTCTGGCACATTTCACTCACTCGACAGTCATCTAGATTTTTTTTTCTTTAAAAGCGCTGCCACATCTGAACTATTAATAATCGGCGCAGTGACAGGCTTGATGATGTTCTTTTCCATGGCTTTGTTCTTCGTCTCTGAAACTAAAGCCGCAAAGTTGCACTTCCGGTGGCAACATATTGTGAGGGTAAAAACAGATGTTTAGTCCTATCGAGAACAGGCGGAATATGTGTTTTCCATGACACAAAATGCCCAGGTTCAGCACGTTGATTCGTCCCGCGGCCACTCTGTCCAACACCTGGCAATCTCTTGAGCAGATAGTCCTCAAATCTATGAATGGAAACAGAAAATTCATTTACTTTTTGTGCTAAACTATATAGCCTGATGTGAAAATTTAACCAGGCTATCACTATATGCATGATTACAGCAGAGTTGGCAATAAAATCTAAATGTCTCAGGTCTACCACCAGCTCGTAGACATTTCAACCGCGTACCCACAAACTTCGACCCTACGGAGCATGTAGGTTGTAGATGTAGCTATGTCTCAGCAAAGATATTTTATCATGGTGACACCTGCTGTGGTAAAGTGGCATAGGGGCCTAACTAAAGTAAAACTTAAAAGTGGGAACCTGGGGGGGGCACGTATTCAAGTAGCACTGAACTTACAAGAACTGCAGTTTGAACATAATTATATAGTTACTGTTCATTAAGATTCCAAACCGTTGGGGGCACCAACTCCCTGGGGGATACGGGCATTGTTGCTAGGGGTTGTTGTCTGGTAGTTGCGCCCCTAGTGCGGTACATAGGTTCCAAACAATATCGTTCTAACCTAAATATTACCGTAACGAGTTTGTAAAAGCCTATTATTAGACTTGGCACTGAAACCACTCCTTGTAAATGCAACATTCTGACATCGCGCCGCGCCCCGCTTTGTCAACATGGGTCTGCTCTACATTTCCTAGGCGCAGAGAGAGAGAGAGAGAGAGAGAGAGAGAGAGAGAGAGAGAGAGAGAGAGAGAGAGANGTTAGTGGACTCACTCTCAATCGATTCCCGCTGGTACAATTGAGGAACTAGCAGTTGTCATATTTATCGGGCATTTAACTATAAATCTGTCAACAGGATAAGTGGTTACATACTCCAGACACACTCTCGAACTAAC